GCTGCAAAAGGGAGAAAGTCGATGATGAGTTGGTGAAAACATGTCGAAAACACCAAAAAATGAAAATCCTTCATAATCTGGCAACATAAACTACGTTTAGATGTAATGAGGATAGGAGTTTAATTTTACGAAAGAAAGTGAATGTAAATTTGAAACTATAGATAATAAACTCCGGAAGAATACTAAGGGTGATTGACCGTCGTTGTTCCGATGGTTAGTTCAGCGTTCAGGCACTGTTTTGAATCTTTTTGGGTTTTTTTTTCTACTTCTTTTTATAGCGATCTTTAATATTTCCTCGTTTGTAGAATTTACGAAAGTTGACAATTGGAACGAGATAATTGAACATTAAAAAAAAGAGAATACAATTTTAAGGCCAAATGAGCTTCTGCCGGCTAATTAGCTCAATGGAATCGATCAAGGTATTTGTTAGTAGCTGACGATTACTGGAAGGATAAAACGATAAATCTGTTGACCCTAGAGAAAGTCGCGAGGTTAATGATATAGGCAACATATTTAACTACTTGAGTTGACTCGTAGTATTTAAAGTGATCTCGGTCAGTTCAACACTTTTATTTGCACAGGAACTATGAGTTGTTCCGTCTACATCGCCCAATTCAAACAAAAAATTGGGCTTCTTTTCATCAAAGTTTCTTGATAATATATAATCTCTCTTAATATCACAAACCCAATCTAGCAAAATGAGTCCAAATCTTGATACCTTCTAGAGATAATTCCAACTACCGATCAGAAAATTCATCGTATTGTGAGACTATATCCAATTCATCGACCACCAATGTTAAAGCTTGTCTGACAATTCTGGGGGTTGTCTAGCAATGCTTGGGGTCACTTCACACTGGAATAGAATTGAGTTACGTGAGATGAGAATTAAGAGTTTCGAAGTCGAAATTTGTAGCGTATGACTCCCGTGTATTAACCTCTAACAGACTTATGAATTCTTTCTAATGATAATTTAACATCCCCCTTCTGGAAATGATCTAAATTATAATATTTTGGGGCCAACTCTATCAACCATTCAGGTTTGATGTTGGTGACAGTTCTAATATAATTTTTAGATGTTAACACAAATTCATTGTAGATAACCCATTCATTTTCAAATGTTAATACTGATGATGGATGGATCAAGACATCTTGATTATCTTTGATGGTTAAATAATTGTTTTTGTTAGCACCTGATTTCTTTTTAGCTACTTGCATGAAGAATCCAGCAACTAAAGCTTTCCTTATATTATCCCAGTAACTTCTATCATTGAAATTATTTGAACATAATCTGACTTCGTGCTTTTCCATGATAGATTTCAATTGATTTCTAACATTCTTAGCACTGACTAAAGATCTATAGTTCAAGAAATTTTCTCTACACCATTTTGCATCTTCACCATTTTCAATGAATTCATAATAGACATTAAGTAAGGTTAAATGGTCACCATCTTTATGAGCAAAGGACATCTTGATTTCATCAGCCAATTTTCTATTTTGGATAGGTCTAACAAAAATGTTTGGTACTGATAATAATGAAACAATAGTCAAGATTTCATTGGAACAATTGAAAGCAACCGAACCGATCAATAAAACTGCTAACATTGGATCCAAGGGGAAATTAGAAGTTAATCTACCTAATGAAGTTAATTCCCCTTCATCACTGAGACAATTCAAATAGTTCAATTCTTCTAAAGCTCTCATCATAGTTTCAGGAGCTGGAGGATCCATGAAATCGAAATGAACTAAATCATCGATACCTAATTTTTTCAATTCTAAAACGGTGTTACTTAAGTTTGATCTTAAGATTTCAGGATATGATTGATCAATTAATTCTTTCTTGAAAGCTTCTTCAGTGTATAATCTAAAACATTTACCTGGTTTAGTTCTACCAGCTCTACCAGCTCTTTGTTGAGCACTAGCTTTGGAAATTGGTGAAACTAAAAGAGATTCCACCCTAATTCTTGGATTATAAACCTTTTGTTTACTGAAACCAGGGTCAATAACATAAACAACCCCATCTATAGTTAAGGAGGTTTCAGCAATATTAGTAGAAACAATACATTTTCTACTGATTCTACCATTGACATTTGGTGGTGCTGGTTCGAAAATCTTTTGTTGTTGATATGGTGGTAATGATCCATATAATGGATGAACTTTAATATCACCACTTTGACCTTCTCTCATTAATTGATCATTTTCTAATTGAATCTTTTTAACTGCATCTTCAATTTCTTCTTCACCTGTTAAGAATAAAAGAATATCACCTTCATCTTCAGTAGCATGAATTTGTAAAACTGTTCTGATTGCAGCATCTAAGTAATCTTTTTGATATTCTGGTGTATAATAAATTTCGACTGGATGAGTTCTACCTGGAACAGTAATCAATGGAGCATCATTGAAGTAACTTTGAAATTTCTTAGCTTCTAAAGTAGCAGACATAATAATGATCTTCAAATCTTTTCTTTTAGCAACTAATCTTTTCAATAATCCCATCAAGACATCGGTAGCTAAAGTTCTTTCATGGGCTTCATCTAATATGATAACAGAATATCTGGATAATAAATGATCATCCATGGCTTCTTTCAATAACATCCCATCAGTTAAATATTTCAAAATGGTCTTGTTACTGGTTTTATTATCAAATCTAATATTATAACCTACTTCTTCACCTAATTTAACATCCATTTCATCGGCAACTCTGGCAGCAACAGACATAGCAGCAACTCTTCTTGGTTGAGTACATGCAACTTGAGTACCTTGTAAATGAGGTAAATCATCAAATAAAACAAATTGGGGGATTTGAGTAGTTTTACCTGAACCAGTTTCCCCAACGAACACCATGATTTGATTTTTTTGAAATACCTTCAAAAATTCATCTCTTTGTTGATGTACAGGTAAATTTCTTCTGGTCTTCAAGATGTCAAAATACCCAACAGAGAATTCATTACCACTGAATGGGTTGGTTTTACCATCTTCTAAATTGTTCGCTTGTTTAGTAGTTGATTGATGTCTGGTGATATTACCGAATTCACCATCATCATGGAAATTTAACTGCTGAGTTTCGTCATGATGCTTTCTTAAGGTTTCCCTTTCAGCCTCTTCGGCGATTTCTTCTGCTGATTCCAACTTCAATTTCTTATGTTTTCTGTCTCCCATATTTAAGCTCATCTCAATTTTTTGTGCGACGATGAGTTTATGAGATGGATCGGGATCTTGCTGATAGGGAAGTGAGATTAGATTATTGGAAGGCAGAGGGTAGAGATGATTGGAATGAGGTAGCTTGTGATTTAGGGTGTGACTGCTATACTCATACCAGTGGATTTTTTTGGGGATAGTGGATGATTCAAAAATTCCACTTTAATTCTATAAGTATTGCACATCAATTCCACGTTTTTAAGATCAAACTTAAGGTAGAACCTTAACATATCGATACTGAACAGTTCACCTACCTATAAAAGGGGCCTGATTTTATTATGAAATCAGGAGCTTTGGTTGAATTTTTTTGTGACATCTGGACTTGTGGAACTTACTTCCTCCACAAATCTATATACGGGATTCCCAAACATTACTTATAGTCCATTTACACTGACAGGTCCATTACACTGGGCGTCCACAATCTAATAGATCCTATCAGAGACACCAAATATTTCGATTGATACCTCCTAATACCAATTTATTGCTCAGCTTCTGTTCATCTTCAGAGAACCCTAGAAATGGGTTCCCCAGAAATCTTGACATGTCTCGACCAGGAAACCACCACTTAACTTAATCGTGGTCTAACCCTCACCGTACTCTTAGAACCTCTATATCTAAATCCCCTGAATTCGCAGCCACCTTTCCATCGCAATTCCTTCTAACCTTCAATCCTCCATGCATGGTTAATAGCCTTTAGATTGTTATCGAGTTCTCATGACTAACTAATTGCTAATGAAAAATACACCTACTGAAGTTTCTACCCCCTCATCACCATTACCCCTGATTCCCCTTATGTCAAAATACCCCCCTACACACCATCGAAAAAACCATGTTTTTCCTATTGTAATTAATCCGATACCTCAACCAACTCAGGCAAATAATTGACCCGTGAATTAATGCTAACTATGGGACGACATGTCGTATTTGCCAATTTTTTTTTTGCAGCCCTGAACGACATACAAATTTTTCTCGCATTTCAAACCAGCTTGTGAATTATACCATTGCTAATAATAACAGTTATTTAAATACGTTTTTCCGTGTACCTTAAGGTATTTGTATAATAATTAATTTCAATCAATACGTTTATATTTGAATCTTCAAAAAAACCCATCCAACTTTGTATTTTTAGATTCGTGTAGATAGAAACCCTTATAGAAATGAGTAAAGCTATTTATGATTTAGCAGTTGTTGCTAATAATGGATTAAACGTTTCCAAAAAATCAGTCAATATCATATGTAACGATGTTTCCAAACTATATAATCAACTGTTATTAGTGAATTACTTAGATGGATCTAAATCTATGTATGAAGAATTAAGTTGGAAATCCAATCAGATAAGAATGAAGAAGAAAAAACTTGGTAAAAGACATTATTCTACTAAAGCTTTTCAACCAGATTATGATTTAAATCCAAATTTAAATCCTCTTGATCCTTTGAAAGATTCTAAGGAGAAGAAAATCGTTATAAAATCAGTTACTGAAGATTCGAAAACTACTCAATTAAATGCTAGTGAAGTTCCAAGTTCCAGATTATCAAGAATGTTCCATTATGGATCTTTAGCTGCAGGTATGGGAATTGGTATGGCACAACATGGATTCAATCATTATACTAATGGGGAAAAAAGTCAACCATTAACATTAAAGAATCTTATTTTAAATCCTGCCAATATCGAAAGAATGGCTAAAAAATTTAGTCAAATGAGAGGTGCTGCTTTAAAGATTGGTCAATTATTATCATTCCAGGATAATTCCATTTTACCTAAAGAAATCCAAAAAATTCTTTTAAAAGTTCAAAATTCTGCTCATTATATGCCATATAGTCAATTAAATAAAGTAATGACAGATAATTTGGGTGGTGATTGGAGATCAAGATTATTTACCTCATTTAATGATGTTCCTATTGCAGCTGCATCCATTGGACAAGTTCATGATGCTGTCACCAAAGATTTATCCAAAGTTGTAGTTAAAGTTCAATATCCTGGAGTTGCCAATTCAATCGATTCAGATTTAAATAATATTTTAATGTTATTAACTGCTTCATCATTATTACCACCAGGATTGTTTTTAGATAAAACCATTGCTAATGCTAGAACTGAATTAAAATGGGAATGTGATTATATTAGAGAAGCACAAAATTTAATCAGATTTGAAGATTTAGTTAAAGATTATCCTGAATTTAAGGTTCCAAAAGTTTATCATAACTTATGTAGTGATAATGTTTTAACTATGGAAAAATTAGAAGGTGTTGAAGTTGTCAAAGGAGATTGGGATCAAGATACTAGAAATTATATTGCAACAAGTATTATGAAATTATGTCTTTTAGAGATTAAAAAATTTAAATTCATGCAAACTGATCCAAATTGGGCAAATTTCTTATTTAATGAAAAAACTGGGAAAGTGGAATTATTGGATTTCGGAGCTGCAAGAGATTTCAATGATAGTTTTATTGATAATTATGTTAATGTTTTAAGAGCTGCTGTTAAGAAAGATAGAAAGCAAATCGAAATAATAAGTAAAAAATTAGGATATTTAACTGGACATGAATCTCAACAAATGATTAATACTCATATTGATTCAGTTATTGTTTTAGGAGAACCATTCTCTCCATTATCAAATGGTGGGAAGAAATTCAATTTCAAAAACCAAACTGTTACTGATAGAGTCAGAGGTAACATTAGTGTAATGTTGAATGAGAGATTAACTCCTCCACCTGAAGAAACTTATTCTTTACATAGAAAATTATCAGGAATATTTTTATTATGTGCAAGATTAAATGCTGAAGTACCATGTGAAGAGTTATTTAGAGAAATCATTGGATTAGAATAATGAATGAACGAAGTAAAGTTATTTGTCTTCCTCTTTAGGTTTTTGTCTTCCTCTTTAGGTTTTTGTCTTCCTCTTGAGCTTTCCTTTTCCTCTTTAGCTTTCGTCTTCCTCATGAGCTTTCGTCTTCCTCATGGGCTTTTTGTCTTTTTTGAGCTTTTTTGTCTTTTCGAGAATTCCCTGCTCCATCGCCTTAGAGAAATCATTCCTCTACTCAGCTGGCTGAGTCTTTATATTAATCTATTTACGAAAAATACTTTTGAATTATATTTGAATTCTTGTATTTAGATAATATTTCAATGGCTTTATCTTGAGGTAATGAACTCAATAATTGTCTTGAAATATCAATAGTTGAAGTTAAATCCGATCCGAATAAAACTCCATGAGATATTGGTGATAATAAATAATCAGTTGCTTTCATCAAATTGTTTTCAATGATTGGATGTTGACCTTTAATTAATTGAATAAGGAATTGGGCAACAAACTTACTTGAAGTTTCACTATGAACAACCGGTAAGTATTCGAACCATTTATTCAAATATTGATCTAAATTCTGAATGGCATTTGAATATTTGGAAAGTATTTGTGATATCGAAGCTATCATTGATTCTGTTGCATAAATATTTTCATCGGCTTTGGCATCAGGTACTGAAATCATTGAAAACATTGGTTGTAAACAAGAAATACAGAAATCTTTATACCTATCTAATCCTGTTAATGCAGCATATCCTATAGCTGTAGCAGCGTATTGTTTAACTGAAACATCAGAACTTTGTAAACATTCACTCAAGATTGGAATGATTTCTTCGAAATTAGTTGAACTCTCTCCACAATATTTCAATAAATGGATAATTGTTAATAATCCACAAGTTCTTAAATGACTATTTTCTTCTTTAACAAGACTTAATATCACTGGATAAAGTCTTGAAAATTGTTGTAAGTAATCATTACCTGATTTTTTGAATATAACTTCAATAACTGAATTAATCTTATCTAAGATTTCTTCGTCAGTATATTCTTGTTCTTCATCATCAACATCTTCAGTATATTCGTCATCTTCGTTATCTTTATCTTTAACTCTTTCATAAACTTCATTCAAATTACTGAATATAGCATCATTAAGATAATTTAATTGAATTGATGATAAAGTACTTGAATTCAATAATTCAATACAAATTCTTAAACATGAATAATAGGCAACTAATAATTCAGGAACTGGTTCATTAGTTAAAGTTTTACATAATTTTTCACAAATTTGTGACCATAATTGTAAAGCTTCATTAGAATTGGCTCCAGTAGCTAATACTACACATCTTAAAGTTGAAGATAATGCTACAGCTGCTGATGCTCTAACACCATCATGTAAGTAAAAATCTAATGCAGGTAAAGCAATTGAAGCTAATTGTTGAGTCCAAGGTAAGAAATCACCTTTTAATTCCATGGCATAACTATTTAAAATTTCCATGGCATAACCCTTTTCATCTAATGCTGCAGTATGAACAGCAACATGTCTACCTGAAATTTCAATAACTTCCCATTCATCACTTGCTTCATATTCTTCAGCTTCTTCTTCATCTAAAACATTAATATCTTGTGATGCTTTTGCTGTTGTCATTAATGAAGGTAAGATTTCAGGTAAGTAAGGAAGGAAATCTCTTCCCATTAATTTACAAACTCTTGCCCAAGCTTGGTCTAATTGTTGTCTGATTTCATCATCATCATCTTTCAAATTGGCTTGGAAATTACCAAATAATTGAATAATTTGTTGTTGTCCATTATTTTGGAACATTTCTTTACCAACAGCTAAAGCAATTAATGATGAACATTCAATAGTTCTTGCTAATAAAGCTTTATTGTGTTCATCGATTTCAGTTGATAAAACATTAATCAATAATGGCATTAAAGTTTCATAATATTTAACAAATTTCTTTTCAGCAGCATCTGCAATGGCTGCAATAGTAGTTAATACTTGTTCTTGAACATATCTTTTAGGTGAATGTAATAAACCTAATAAATTAGTTAATAAATCATCTAAATAAGGTTCAATAACTTCTTTAGTTGAATTTTCAGAGAAATTAACTAAAGCAGCAGCAGCATGGGCTTGAACTCTTGGAACTGAATTATTTGTTAATCTTGAAATTAAAGCAGGTAAAACTTGATCACCATTGTTTCTTTGAATGACATCAGCAAAATCAGTTGACATTTGACCTAATGCATTACAACAAGCATATTGAACTCTTGGATGATCATCTTGAATTAATGGTAAGATTAATTGTAAAAGTTTTGGAATTTCATTAATTAAAACATCAACACATCCTTCAGCAGCTGATGATAATGCCATCAAAGCAGCTTGTCTTTCTCTCCAATTTGGACTTTGAATCATTTGAGGTAAATATTGGAACAATGGTCCAGCTAATGAATTACCTCCTAAGCTCAAACAAACTCTATCTAAAGATTGTCTAGCAGCATCATATTCTATTTCTTCATCTTCTTCATCATCATTAGTATTATTATTCCATTCACTAGCTTCATCATCATCAATACAAACTTCAGTTAACATAGATAACGTTACTAAAACCATTGAATTACTATAAGTATCAGATCTTTTACACATATTTGGTGATGATTCAGCAAAACATGTTAATAATTCTAATGCTGAACTTCTTGTACCACCATCTAATTCTTTATCTTTAGCAACCATTGAACCAAATTCTATTATTTGTGGGAACATGTCTTTGAACATTTTTGGAGCTACAGTAACTAAATCGATTAAATTTCCAAGTACCAAAGCTAATGAAACATCTTGTCCACTTTGTAAGAACATAGGTAAAGAATTTAATAAATTTGGTAATAATGGTGATAATCTACCCCAAACATTTTTTGGTAAATTCTTGAAAAATTCAACAAATGCTGTACATGAAGCAATTCTAACATCATCATTATCATTAGTGAAAGCTTGTCCAAATACTGGTAAAATATCATTCAAATATTGTTGACCAATAATTTCTGGTGCTGATGCAAATATTCTGAAAGCTGATTCACAAATTGATGGATTAGAATTCTTAGCAGCTTCGAATAATGCTGGTAATAATTCTTGCCATTGGTTGTCAGGTTTGGTGTATACTTTGGCAACTTCAGCAATACAATCACTTAATTTATGTCTGACGGGATTACTTTCTTCTTTTAAGAACCCATTTAATAAAGTATTACGAATTTGATATCTAGCTTCTTCTCTTATTACTTCAATATTTCTATCGGTGAATTTGGCAGTATTTGGTTGTTTGATAGCAATTCTTCTGAATAAAACGGCTGAAAATGATCTTAACATATCACTAGATCCTAAACATGCTTGTTCTGATAAAAATGTTAATAAGATTTCAACTTTCTGAGTATCTGACCATTGTTCTTCGAGAATTTTCTCAGCTATTGACCTAGAACTATTGTCTGCAGAAGCTAAGTTACTAAGTAACTCAGTTAAATTCTGATTAATATCAGCTGGTAAAACAGACATGGTTTTATTTTCACCTAAAATTTTTTTCACTTTCACATCAATACTCACTGGTAGGCGCACGATTTTTTTTACGGGAAAGTTTTAGATAAAGAGGTTAACTGTATTTGGGGAAGTTATTATAGAGTATGGGATAGTGATCTCCTTGGAATTTCACTGGAGTATCCATTGAAAGATAAGAAAAATTTGACAGAACAAATAGAAATTGTACATTAAATCATTATCTCTTTAAAATGGTGATGACATCTTCATCTTCTAATTGATGACTTAACCCCACAACTTGTGGTTGATGCTTAACACTAGTACCATAAACCAAGGCACTTTTGAATTCTTCGACTAATGATTTATGAATAGAATTACAGAAATCCTCTACTGCACATCTATCACTTCTTAAAACCACAGGTTCACTAAAATCTGGTAATTTCCCTTTAGGTTTGGTATAAACTCTTACCAAGTTTAACTTTGACCACATCATTTCCAATAAATCATCTAAATTCCATCCATTACCTGAAGAAATTGGAATGGCGTTTGGAATCTTATATAATAAATCCAATTCTTCAATGGAAAATGCATCAATTTTATTTAATACATAAACAGCAGGTATGTATCTTCTATTCTTAGCTTCAATGGCATCGATCAAATCATCAACTGTAGCATCACATCTGAATGCAATATTGGCGGAATTAATTCTATATTCTCCCATGACAGCTCTAATTTCATCGTTATCTAAATGAGTTAATGGTACAGTATTGGTGATATTAATACCACCTCTTTCTTTCTTGGTTATAACAATATTTGGTGGTTCTTTATTAATCCTTACACCAACCCCTTCTAATTCATGTTCAATGATTTTTTTATGTTGTAAAGGTTTGTTAACATCCAATACTAAAAATAATAAATTAACTGATCTGGCAACAGCAATAACTTGTTTACCTCTACCTTTACCATCTTTGGCACCTTCAATAATCCCTGGTAAATCTAACATTTGAATCTTAGCCCCTTTATATTTGATAACCCCTGGAACTGTGGTTAAAGTTGTGAATTCATAAGCTGCTGCTTCAGAATGGGTACCAGTTAATTTAGATAATAATGTTGATTTCCCAACTGATGGGAACCCAACAAACCCTACAGTGGCTACCCCTGTTCTTGCAACATCGAAACCAACACCTCCACCTCCACCTCCACTGGAGCTATCACTTATAAGTTCTCTTCTTAATTTGGCTAATTTGGCTTTTAATTGACCTAAATGGAATGAAGTGGCTTTATTTTTTTGAGTTTTAGCCATCTCATCTTCGATGGCTTTAATCTTTTCAACAGTCGTCATTTTTTACTAGATTTCTTTATGAAGTAAGTGAAAATTCACTAAAGACCTTTATAATAAAACTTTTCAGTCGTGCGAACTCTTCAGTGAAAAATTTTTTTAGTGAGATATTTAGACACTTTATATTAAGATGGCTAAAAAAGGAAAGAAAGGAGGTAAAAATGCCGATTGGGAAGATGAAGATATGTATCAAACAGCTGATGCTGAAGAATTTGGTCAAACTGAAGAAACTTCCGGTGAAACTGCCTCAGAAACTCCTGTAGAAGACGCAGAAGCTTCAGGTCCTGTTGAAGCAGAAGCTGCCACTGCTGATGACTTTGGTGGTGATTTCTTAAGTTCAATTAGAAAATCTAAGAAGAAAAAGGAAGATAAAGAAGAAGAAATTAAGAAAGATGCTCCAAAGATCTTAAGTAAGAAAGAAAAGGAAAAATTAAAGAAAGAAGCAGAAAAGCAAAAGAAGAAAGAACAAGCTGCTAAAAAGAAAGCTCAACAAGCAGAAAAGAAGGAACAAATCAAAGAAGCTAATAAGAAAAATGCTCAAGGTTCAGCTTCAGATACTTCAGCTACTGCTACCCCAGAACCTGAAGAACCAAAAGAAGAGGAAAAACCTAAAGCTGCCAGTAAGAAAAAGAAAGGTCCACCAGGTTTATCAGCTTTAAAACGTCAATTAGAATTGAAAAAACAATTGGAAGAAGAACAACAACGTTTGGAAGAAGAAGAAGAAGCTAAAAGATTAGAAGAAGAAAGAAAAGTCAAAGAAGAAGAAGAAAAACAAGCTGCTGCTAAAGCTGCTAAAAAAGAAAAGGAAAGATTGAAGAAAGAACAATTAAAAGCTGAAGGTAAGTTATTAACCAAGAAACAAAAGGAAGAAAAGAAATTACAAGAACGTCGTCGTGCTCAATTATTAGCAGGTAATGTTCAAGTTGCTGGTTTACAACAACAAAACAAACCTACTGAAAAACCTAAAAAAGTTGTTTATACTAAGAAGAAATCCACTAAAGCTAAGACTTTCATCCAAAACAACAAAGCTCAAGAGAAACCTAAAGAAGAAGACGATGATGTCGTTGACGATTGGGAAGCTATGCTCGATGATGAAGATGTTGACGAAGATTGGGAAGCTGCTACTGAAGAACCAAAAGAAGAAACTCCTGTAGCTGAAGAAGAATCCGAAGATGACGATGAAGATGATGAAGAAGAAGAAGTTGAAGTTGAAGCTACTAAAGTTAAAGCTGAAAACGAACAATTGAAACAACAATTAGCTGAAAAAGAAAAGAAAATTCAAGAAGTTGAAGAAAGTAAGAAATCTATTGAAAAGGCTAAAGTTATCGCTGAATCCAAATCTTCAGATAAAGATTTACGTTCTCCAATTTGTTGTATCTTGGGTCATGTTGATACTGGTAAAACTAAATTGTTAGATAAAATCCGTCAAACTAATGTTCAAGGAGGTGAAGCTGGTGGTATTACCCAACAAATTGGTGCCACTTATTTCCCAGTTGAAGCTATTAAACAAAAAACTGAAGTCATGACCAAATATGAAAAGAGATTATTCGAAGTTCCAGGTTTATTAATTATTGATACTCCAGGGCATGAATCTTTCACCAATTTAAGATCAAGAGGTTCATCATTATGTAATATTGCTATTTTAGTTATTGATATTATGCATGGTTTAGAACAACAAACTATTGAATCCATTAGATTATTGAGAGATAGAAAAGCTCCTTTCATTGTTGCATTGAATAAAATCGATAGATTATATGGTTGGGAAACCATTCCAAATAATTCATTCCGTGATTCTTTCTCCAAACAAAAAGCTTCAGTTCAAAGTGAATTTCAAAACAGATATGAACAAATTAAAGTTGCTTTAGCTGAACAAGGATTGAATTCTGAGTTATATTTCCAAAACAAGAATATGTCTAAATATGTTTCCATTGTCCCAACATCAGCTGTTACTGGTGAAGGGGTACCAGATTTATTATGGTTATTATTAGAATTGACTCAAAAGAGAATGTCTAAACAATTAATGTACTTAACTAAAACTGAAGCTACCATTTTGGAAGTCAAAGTTGTTGAAGGTTTTGGTTACACTATCGATGTAGTTTTATCTAATGGGGTATTGAGAGAAGGTGACAGAGTAGTATTGTGTGGATTAAATGGTCCTATTGCTACTAATATAAGAGCTTTATTAACTCCTCCACCATCAAGAGAATTAAGAATCAAATCAGAATATGTCCATCATAAAGAAGTAAAAGCTGCTTTAGGGGTTAAAATTGCTGCTAATGATTTAGAAAAAGCTGTCGCTGGTTCAAGATTGATTGTCGTTGGTGAAGATGATGATGAAGAAGAAATCATGGAAGAAGTTATGGATGATTTAACTGGTTTATTGGATTCAGTTGATACTTCAGGTAGAGGTGTTACCGTTCAAGCTTCAACTTTAGGTTCATTAGAAGCTTTATTGGATTTCTTAAAAGATATGAAAATTCCTGTTATGTCTATCGGTTTAGGTCCAGTATCTAAGAGAGATGTTATGAAAGCTACAACCATGTTGGATAAAGCTCCAGAATTAGCCATTATGTTGTGTTTTGATGTCAAAGTTGATAAAGAAGCTGAACAATATGCTAATGAACAAAATATTAAAATCTTCAATGCCGATATTATTTATCATTTATTCGATGCTTTCACTGATTATCAAAATAAATTAATGGAACAACGTCGTAAAGATTTCATGGAATATGCTATTTTCCCAACAGTCTTGAAAACCATTCAAATCATTAATAAACGTAATCCTATGATTATTGGGGTTGATGTTGTTGAAGGAGCTGTTAGAGTTGGTACACCAATTTGTGCTGTTAAAAAAGATCCTGTCACTGGAGCTACTAATATTTTAGTCTTAGGTAAAGTTGTTTCTTTGGAAGTTAACCACAATTCTACTGATATAGTGAAGAAAGGACAAACTGCTCAAGGGGTTGCTATGAGATTAGAAAATCCATCGAGTGCTCAACCTGTTTGGGGAAGACATGTTGATGAAAAAGATAATTTATATTCTTTAATCAGTCGTAAATCAATTGATACTTTAAAAGACCCTGCTTTCAGAGAATCTGTTAGTAGAGATGATTGGTTATTGATTAAGAAATTAAAACCAGTATTTGATATTAAATAATGAATACATGATCTCTGTTTGACATAAAAAGTTTTTGCAGCCAAAAGTCGTGTGCGCGCTGAGTATCTCTTTTTCGCATTTGTGAGAAAAAAAGTTTCATCCAATTGAAGTTGACTAAAATCAAATAACAGTTAAACCATGCAAGATTTACCACCTATTGGAGGATATGAACCAGTTCAATGGAAAAGAAATTTACCATCAAGAGGTTTCAGACCTGTCATTTATTTCTGGCTTATAAGTGGAGCTATGGGATATGGATTTTACAGATTCTACCAAGGAGTTGATGAACAAAGAGAATTAACCAGAGAAAAGCAATGGGCTAGATTCTTCTTACAACCATTATTAATAGCCGAAGAAGATAGAAACACCGCAAGAAGATATTTCAGTGAATTAAAGAGACAAGAATTAGTTAAAGAATCTATGAGTGATGAAATGAAAGCTAAATTCGAAGAAGAAATTTATCATGATAAATCTAAATTACGTTTACCAAGATATACTGCTGGGGGTCCAGCTTCCGAGCATTAAATCATTAAATTTCACATATCAGGGTTTTTAGGGGAAAGTTGAAAATCTTGAGTTAAACCTCATAATTGAGGGAAACTCCAGAGGAAAAGACTCAATTTTCTTCTTTACCTACTTCCCCTTCACCTATCAACCAGTTTCCTTAAGTATAGACGAAGAGATGCATTAAGTATTTATAATAAAATTTTACATAAATCATCACCTCACCTTCTCTTGAAATGCGAATTACCCAACATGTCCACCAAAGTTTCTACTTCTGAACAAGTTAAGCAATTGCTTGATGCTTATGATTATTTCCTCTTCGATTGTGATGGAGTTCTTTGGTTAGGTGATCATATTTTACCTAAAGTTGCTGAAACCTTGAAATCATTGAAGCTGCATGGAAAGACCGTTATCTTCGTTACCAATAATTCAACAAAATCTAGAAAAGATTATTTGAAAAAGTTCTTAAAATTCGGAATTGAAGGTATTAATAAAACAGATATCTTTGGATCATCTTACGCTACTGCTATTTATATCAATAAGATCTTGAAATTACCTCTTAATGAAAAAATTTGGATCTTAGGTGAAGAAGGAATTAAATTAGAATTGGAAGAATTGGGTTATAAAACGTTGGGTGCAAATGATAGTAAATTGAACGAAGACAAAGAATTCAACCCAGATCACGAAATGTTAACAGAATTAGATCCTGAAGTTGGATGTGTTGTTGCTGGATTGTGTTTAAATTTAAACTATTTGAAATTATCCATTACCATGCAATACTTATTAACTAAGAACAAATCGTTACCTTTCATTGCCACCAATATTGATTCAACTTTCCCATCAAAAGGTAAGCTTTTGATTGGTGCAGGTTCAATTATTGAAACTGTCAGTTATGCTAGTGAAAGAAAACCAGATGCTATTTGTGGAAAACCGAATCAATCCATGATGAATTCCATTAAAGCTGACTATCCGGAATTACAGGCTAATCCAAAGAGAGGGTTGATGATCGGTGACAGATTAAACACTGATATGAAATTCGGTAAGTTAGGAGGTTTAGATACTTTATTGGTATTAACAGGTATCGAAACTGAAGAAAGGGTTTTAAGTTTAACTGAAGAACAACCTACTTATTATATGGATAAACTTGGAGATATCTTCGAATTGACTAGAGAATAGATAGATTTATAGCTCTGATCCTCTTGTCTAGATTTGATACTTGGCTCATTACCTGGTGCCTACACAACCTGATATCAATTGAATATTTCTATTTTGTATATTCAATAAAAAGATCCCCCTTGAACCAACTTCAAATCCATATTGTACAAAAAACTCCCCACTACCCGCATACCATACTCTCCAAGTTGAAAAAATCTCGGCCCCGTAAGTACAACTCTCACCCTCTATTGTGCGCGTCAATGGTACTAAAATGTCCCGAAAAAAAGCCAATCAAACGAAGATGACGTATTTAAAAAAAATTATTTCTGCGACTGGACGATCCTTCCACAAGCTAATTTTACCACTAAAAATTTCAAGTATTTTATAAAACTGTATCCTTTTTTTTCGAGTAATTCCCCATTGAAGTAGTTTTAAATAAATAGTTATAGTACAGGTGATTATAATTATATTTAGAAAACATTTTAAGCTCGATTATTTAGTGCATTTAGTTCTTTAGATTCCAATAGATTAAAAAACAAAATCATACATTCAAACTTGAATTACCCGTAACATAACTTCAACACTATCGTTTAATTTAACACTTATTATAATCACAAATCCACATAAAAATGCCTGATAAGAAACAACAATTACAAGAGTCAGGATTAGTAGAATGGCCAGTATTTAGTGAATTAATCGCAATGGATGAAGATGAAGAAGGTTTTTCAAAATCCTTATTTAAAACATTCGTTGACCAAGTACTAGAAACTTTTGATGAAATTGATGAAAATTTAGAAGAAAAAAACTTAGATAAGTTAAGTGGTTTAGGTCATTATTTAAAAGGTTCAGCTGCTGCTTTAGGATTAAACAAGATATCGTCACAATGTGAAAGAATTCAGAATTACGGTCATAAGAACAATTTTGACAATTTTGAATTAAATAATGAAGATATTGTTATTGATTCAGATGATTATTGGGTTGAACTAATAAAAGATGCTTTAAAACATGCCAGATCAGGTTTTGATAGTTCAAGAAAAGCTCTTAATGATTACTTTGATGATGATTTATAAACCTTTTTGATTCCCCTTTACACTCATTTCTGTATGGTTTAATAAACAAAATTGCATATCTATCTCCTCATTGACGCAGGTTTAACTTTAAAGTTCAGTGACATAGAGCTACATCATCTTTCACATGAGTCTGCGGATTATCAACTTTCCGATTTTAAGGATTTTTAGGTTTTTGAAGGACTTTGCCCCCTTCGACCATTTAAATCTTATTATGAGCCATCATCGTTCTATCTCATACTAAAACCTCGCTTAATCTTGAATTTATTGATGACGTAAATTTTGATGTTATACTTCGTGCATGAGAATCGTTATTAATAACGATGTTTACCGTGCACGAGGAATGAGTTCAGGAGAACTTGAAACACCAGTCCTATATTATGACATCTTCATCTGATCTCATGTGGTTGATGGTTAGGTACGTGTTGTAAAAGTGGTCTGGATTTTGAGTATATTACCGGCAGAGAAAAGACAAAAAATTTCGTTTATATATGTTTTTTATAAAGACAAAATTCCATATAATCAACATTATAAGGAATAAATGTCCGTAATATTGGAGGAATATAAATCAATCTTCCAATACCATGATTACCATCAGGATTGATGATTTTTTTACATGTAACTCTTTCCCAATCTTTGGGTTCATTGGTGAAGTCTGGCTCTATACCATTAGTTTTACCTGAATTATCTATGTAGTAATCACATTGTTCAAATGGTATTATGGTGGTTTCAGAAAACATGTTTTTGTTATTGAAACCTTCAGGGGTGAAACTAGTAACATCAAAAAGTGGTTCTCCTTCTTTGAAATCTCCTGGTAATAATCCATCGAATCCAGATTTAATATACTTCAATCTTTGATCATTATTAAGAAAGAATGATGTTGGAAAATGATACCACTCTCTACCAATACAAACATTTCCCCCTTCAAGATGAGCTAATTCTTTGGATACTACTAGTGGGGTACTATAATTTTCTACCAAATTAACGGTTCTTAAGAAGGAAATGGAGGAAATCAAGAATACTACTAGGACTTTTGAAATTTTACTGATGATTCTGGCATTGATATTCTCTAATAATCCATCAACAAAGGTATATAATCCACCCAAAGCCACAGCCGCATTGGCAATGATTAATGAATAAATTGGATACAAGAATCTTTCTTCTTTGTGTGGTTGACTACCAAATATCAAGCACCACAAAATCAATGGTAAATTGATGGCCCATTTCTTACCTGAAAAGTCAACAAGTCCTATGAATCCGAATATTGCCACTACGTTGAAATTCAACGCCAAATTAAGTATATAATAACTAAAAGGTTCAACACCAAAAATTTCTGGGCCTTCACCTTCACCTCCAAATACATTATATAACACAATATTTAAAGGTATAAATGCGAGTTTCTTATAGAAGAATGAATCGATAGTAACAATAACGGCCACAATACTCGATAAATTCACTATGCACCTTATGATTACACTACTCAATTGTTTATAATGTAATAAAGTGTATAAACCATAAGGTACAGCCAAAGCTAAAACGAAAGGCCATCCGAATAAACCTCCAATCATTATCCAAGTCAATGAACCAACAGCATTTCCAATGGAGAATTCTTTTAATGCATAAGAAATGGACATGGTAACACACTGCATAGCAAATGATGAAGGTAATAATGCAACACCGGCATGGGACATTCCTGTAGCAATAGCTGTCAAGAACAAATACCAATTACTCGAATTTGGGAATGTTTTCTTTAATGAATAATACAATTTTAATTCTGAATAGACTGTGAATCCATTGAGTACAAATCTAATAAAATAGAAAATGTAATAACTTGGAAGTCCCCATTCTTTAACAATATAGTTTACGGGATATGAAATAATATAATATGGCAATAGGTAAGAATATGATCTAATGGCAAACTCTGGAGAATATTCCCAGGTTTGTTTCCCAAATCCTCTAACGAGAAGATTCAAAGGATCCCAATAGTTATAAGTTTCATCACAATCTGGAATTATCATACATAATGAAGAATATACCTTCGATAGAATGTCTAGCGATATCAATACACCTTCCATGTTGCAACCGCGAAAAAAAAAAAGTTTCAGTGTGGAAAGAGACAACACAGTTAAAAAACGTTATATATTAATCTAATTTTTCTTTAACATTGAATCACGACCTGGACCAGTACCAACCCATTTAATTGGAACATTAACAAAATCTTCAATAAATTTCAAATATTTCTTAGCATTTTCTGGTAAATCATCGAAATTTTTGATTTTAGTGATATCTTCATTCCAACCTGGTAAAGTAACATATTCAACATCAACTTTACCTAATTTGGTTAAATCTTCAGGGAATGATGATAATTTTTCACCATTATAACTGTAAGAAATACCAACTTTGATTTCTTTGAATTGATCTAAAACATCTAATTTAGTAATGTTTAAATCAGTGTAACCATTAATCAAACAAGAATATTTTAAAACAACTAAATCTAACCAACCACATCTTCTCTTTCTACCGGTGGTGACACCGAATTCAGCACCAACAGTTTGTAAAGTTTCACCATCTTCATTTAATTGTTCAGTTGGGAATGGACCTTCACCAACTCTAGTAGTGTAAGCTTTAACGACCCCGTAAACATTATTAACGTTTCTTGGAGGAATACCTAAACCAGTCAAAACACCACCAATACCAGTAGCTGAAGAGGTAACATATGGGTAAGTACCGTAATCTAAATCCAACATTAAAGCATTAGCACCTTCGACTAAAATTCTTTTCTTATCAGCAATAGATTTGTGAATGAAATCAACAGCATCGACAACGAAAGGTCTTAATAATTCACGGTATTTTTCGTATTGAGCTAATTCAGCTTCAACATCATAATCGAATTCACCATATCTTTTATATCTACTTTCAACTAATCTGTGATATCTAGTTTTAAATTCTTCCCAAGCTTGAGGATCTTCACTAACCAAGTGATGAACTCTAATACCTGATCTTGAAGCTTTGGTTGAATAAGTTGGACCAATACCTTTACCAGTAGTTCCGATAGATTTTTTGGTAGTCGATAATTCAGCTTCTTTTAATTTATCGGTTCTTTGATGGAAATCAAAAACTAAATGACATCTTGAAGAGATGAATAATCTATCTCTACAGTATAATCCTTTCTTTTCTAAATTTTCCAATTCTTCAAATAAAGATGGAACATGGACAACAACTCCTGAACCAATCAAATTCAAACATTTAGGATTAACTAAACCTGAAGGCAATAAATGGAAATCGTATTTGACATCACCAACAACAATAGTATGACCAGCATTATTTCCACCTTGACATCTTGCACAAACATCAATATCTTCACATAAAATGTCAACTAATTTTCCTTTACCTTCATCACCCCATTGTGATCCTAAAACAACGTCACACATTTCTAATTTATATAACTTTGATTCTATAAGTTTTCCAACAAGATTTTCAAAGTCTTGTTAAGTTTATAAAATGTTTGTTTGAACGAACAAATCCGTTATCCAAAAAATTCACTTTCCTCGATTTTTTCTTTTACCCATCGTGTCTGAGTCACATTAATTAATGAGAGTCAAAATCTGGGGACCCTGAAGCTAGATGACTAGAGGAAGATGTAGAGTGAATCGTATTATAACCAGGTTGATAATGATATGGTCAGAATGTTTGTTTATTGTTCATTTGTGTGGATGTAGATGTGGTTGAAAGTTTGTAATGAAAAATGAGCAATGAGTCAGGAGACCTCCCATAAGGATTTAGCCGATATTCTCTCAAATGCTCTATAATTTGATAAGCAGGTTCATACTAGTGATATTAGTATGTGATGATTTTTGCGTGATTTTTAAGTACTTTTTTTTAGCTGGAAATGATTTTTTTGTATTTATAATATTTTGCAGCCATTCTGCGATTTTCACAATTTGTAATGTTCCTGGAAGTGACAAAACAGTATCAAAAAATAAAAGAAAAAAAGATACAAAAAACGTAAAAAGTGGAAAATATGGAAGTAGTGATTCAATTTATAGATTGGAGTCAGGGTTAGTCGTTTATGCAATTAGTTACTCTCAGAATTGTTAGATTTACTGATTATCTCACATTGGCTTTAGTGTCGAGTAAAGGAGGTAGCATTGCAAGCTCATAAATAACCAAATAACATCTATCTCATGTTTCAATCTACAAAGGTGTATCAAGACCCATAGCTCTGCTTCCATTAGTGCCATTGCCAGATACATTTGTAGGAGCTGGAAAAGATAATTAAAATTTATGAGTAATAATTGCCCAAAAAGAATGAATTGCCCAGTCCAGTTGAATAATGTAAATTGCAGGTACCTTGAATTTAAACCATCCATGTCTGAGTATTCTCTATAGTTAAGGGTGGTAAATGGGACTGAAAACCAGCATTTATATAATTCCCAACATAGATATCTACGCATAGAAATTACAACCAGAGTAAAAATTTGATCCAGGATCATTTGGCTGCCCACCTCTGGCTTATCCACTCAATCACTCAGGCGAGATGTGACTTGTTTATCACACGTCCCTTCTTCGTCAAATCAATCTCTTTGCTGATTTCACCCAAACATGAAGATAGTGAGAAATTTAGTCGCAAAGTATGAGTGAAGAGGTTTCTATTCAAATACCTAGTTTTCCACCATTCACCCTCAGATCCTCGCTAATCGACAAGGATCCTGTAATTTGGGTGCATCTTCTTGAATCATATATCAAGTTATTCAGCTATCTAATTAATGACAACTTTCAATATTTGAGTATCAAGTCCAAACAACAGTTATTCCAATTCTTGAAAAATTACTTATTCGAAATATACGGGGAGAAGTCTAAGATTTTCTCCCTTGGAGCCATAAATCCTGATATAAGAGAGAATGAAAGAATTCTAAAAGAAGTGGTGTTCCACTTCATCAAAACTTATAGCATATTGAAATTGAATCTAATTGGGGAATCCATTTGGTATTTTATTGGTATTTATATTGATGGTAACCAATCGACAGTAAGAGGATTAGTGGATGGATCCTATAAATCCAAATTAAACGATAATAAGAAATCTGGTAAGATCAGTTCAATATCTTCCGTGCATACTTACTTACAGAAGAAAATCATGAATGGCAACTTCACCTCCGATGACTTAACCATATTATCTCAATTGTTGGGTCAGAGTATCAATAAGAGTACAACTGTTGATTTAAAAGGGGGTGAAATCAAAAAATCAATCAACAAGAAGAAGTCTATCGAATTTGTTGAAAAGTTCGTTGATAAAAATTGGATCGAAATTCTCGAAAAACTATTTGCCAATGGGAGAGGTATCCACCATAAGATATCATCAGAAATAATGGTCATATCATTGATCTCATTACCTGCTACGCAAATAAGTAAATTGTTGAATGACCTCAAGATCACCAAAACATCATCCATGATATCATGTCCATTATTTACTTCTATAGTTATATCGGAGGAATTCAATGAGTTAATCCCTATCCATGAAAAGATTCCCCATCTATTGAACGGATTGGAGGATGTGAAGGTTGTGAAACAAGAGGATATCGATACCTTGGTTGGAATTTTCCCAGATTTAACCATAGGTAAAGCTAAAACCATCCTAATTGATAATGATTTGAATGTAGAGAAAGTCACGAATATTCTTTTAGAAAACCCAGAAGTGATCAAATTCATTGAAGAAGAACCCGAAGAATTGAAACAAACAGAAATACTCAAACCCACTGAGAGTGAAAGTGCCAGATTCGATTCAGAAAAATTAAGTTACACTAAATTGTCAAAGAAAACTCTAGACACAAAATCACTCAAAGAGAGAACTTTGGTAGCAGCATTGAGAATGATGCAAGAGTCTGATGATGAACCAGATGATACTTATGATGTTCAAGATGCAGGGGTAGTGGAAGAGGGAGGTGCTACCACCCCAATACAAAAGGCATTTTCAAATGAAGAATTATTCTTGTTCAGCGTATTCAAAAAAGACGGAAACGAACCATTCGAAAAGACTAGCAGAAAATCTAGTCATAGAACATTATTAAAGAAACAGACTAAATGGAGTGATGAACAACTCGAAGGATGGTTCAAACAATTATTGAAATCACCAAGGAGATATAAGTTACTTGAAGAAAACTATTTGTTCGGAGATGGTAATCCTAATAGGACGAGAAAAGAACCGGTAAGTGGTCAAGAAGTATCTGATGAGAATATAACAACGGCAACGAAGGAAAAAGAACCTATCAAGAAAGATATCAAAAACAATAAGAAAGAAGAAAAGAAACCCGAAAAGAAAGAAGTCAAGAAGACTCCTCTGAACAAGAAAAACAATCACAATAGGAAATCTGGACATTCCAAGAAGACAAGAAACGAATTAAATGTAAACTAGACTTTATAGATTTCTTTATAGATTACATACAAATCGGAACAAATTTTGCAGCCGAACGCTCACTGATCTCGCAAAGACTGGATCTCGCGTTGACAGTGAATTATAATGATTTCAGGATTATTCATATTCGATGGCAAGGGGGATGTTTTGATGTCCAAGATATATAAAGAAGGAATCAAGAGGAATGTCTCAGATGTATTCAGAATTCAGGTGATCAATTCGAATAACAAATTAGGTAATTCCAAAGAAGTACGATCTCCCATCTTAACCTTAGGTTCAACATCGTTTGTCTATATAAAATCCGGTAAATTATGGATCGTTGCAGTAACAAGATCCAATCAGGACTGTTCTACCATTCTCGAGTTCATCTATAAGTTTGAAAACATCTTGAAAATGATGGTTGCAGAGATAAATGATGAAAATATCATAAATAACTTCTTTCAAATATACCAAATATTGGACGAAATTGTTCAATTCGGCTATCCAATCAATTTGGAACCAGGATACATCAAAAGCATTTTACCCAATGCTACTATTGGTGAAACCAAACTCATCAGAAGGAAATCTAATGGACTGTCGTACGTTTTGAATCATAATAATAAAAGTAATGAAATTTTGAATAAAGCATTATCAACCATAACTTGGAGACCCCAAGGAATCAAATATAGAAGAAATGAAATATTTTTGAATGTGGAAGAGAAAATTAATGTATTGACTAATGAACAATCGGAGATCTTGAGGTCTTATGTGGATGGAAAAATTATGATGAAAACTCATTTGAGTGGTATGCCAGAATGTAAGTTCGGTCTTAATAATGACGATTTGGTCTTAAATGGATTACCAGGGAAAGAAAACGATGGCAATTCTGATTCTGTGGTTCTTGAAGATTGTAAATTCCATCAATGTGTGGAGTTAGACAAATTCACTGAACAAAGAGTTATACAATTCATACCCCCAGACGGAGAATTCCAACTCATGTCATATAATTGTAGACTGAGTATCAACTTACCTTTCAAGGTTACTGCTCAAGTCCAACAATTTGGGTCAAGGAAAGTTCAATATAAACTACTGATAAAATCTTTGTTCCCATCAAAAACATCATCAACAAACGTTCAAATCAAAATTCCTACTCCAAATGGAGTATTAAAACATTATGCATCTACCACACATGGGAAAACCAAATTTCACCCGGAAGATAACGTTCTTGTTTGGAAATTTAATAAAATGTTTGGTGACAATGAATATGTGTTGACCGCCGAAGTGGAACTAACGGAATTAGAGGGTAATAGATTGATCAATTGGTCAAGGCCACCAATAAAGTTAGATTTCGTCATCGACATGTTCTCATGTTCAGGATTGTCAGTCAACTATTTGAGAATTGATAAAGCTAATTATAAAACAGTCAAATGGGTCAAATACTCCACACAATCAGGTTCTTATGATATACGATATTAAAAATATATATTATTCTGTGTTGAGGTTTCAGCTGACAGTTTTTCTTCATGCACAGGGGAACCCATTTCGGGGAGATCCTTCCACGGATGTGTCTTTCCACGGAGGTTCCTTCGTTAAAACATCTCCAAGTGCGAAATTAAATCTCATCACCATGAGAGATATAATAGTTTTAGGAGGATCCAGTCATCCCAACTTAACCAAGTCTATATGTAGACATTTAACTGTCGAACAAGGGATTGTTGATAGCAAGAAATTCAGTAATGGTGAAACATCGATCGAAATCAGAGATAGTGTAAGAGAAAAAGATGTCTTCATTATACAAAGTGGATGTGGAGAGGTTAATGATAATTTTATGGAATTATTGATCACTATAGCTGCTTGTAAGACTGCCAGTGCTAAAAGGGTTACAGCTGTTTTACCATTATTTCCTTATTCCAGACAACCAGACGTACCTCATGCTGCAAGTTTAACAGGTGCTCCATCTATGGCAGTTAAAAAAGATAAATATACTTTTGAATCGGCTCCTGGGACTCCAAGACCTATGAAATTCGAAAATGGGGATATTTTCAGTAATGTACCACCTCCGTTAAATTTAGAAAATCCTGCTTCAGGTGCTACTTCAGCTTCAAATAATTTAATTAACAGAGCTATTGGTGGATTCAAAACTACTTCAATAATAACAAATTCTGCTTCAGTTAGTCTTCAAACTAATAAATTACCATCAGTAGATATATTTGGTAAGACTGAAAGTGGTTATAAACAATGGATAGCTCAAAACGGTACATTAATCGCTAATTTATTAGTTACCGCAGGTGCTGATAGGTGTATAACTATGGATTTACATGATCCTCAATTCCAAGGATTCTTCAATATCCCAGTCGACAATTTGTACAGTAAACCATTGTTGAAAAGATATATTATTGACTATATACCAAATTATCAAGAATGTGTTATAGTAAGTCCTGATAGTGGAGGAGCTAAAAGAGCTACCAGTATTGCCGATTCTTTAGGTTGTTCATTTGCTTTGATTCATAAAGAAAGAAGGGCTAAAATCTCCAAAACCCCACCAGGAAGCAATAGTTCTAATAGCGCTACTCCCTTAATGCATTCAAGTAGTTCAATCAATTTGATCAATAATAGTGGTATGGTTGCAACAACTATGTTGGTTGGTGATGTTAAAGACAAAGTATGTGTTTTAGTTGATGATTTGGTTGATACTTCATATACTATAACACGAGCTGCCAAATTATTGAAAGACCAAGGAGCTTCAAAAGTTTATGCTTTGGTAACTCATGGAATTTTCAGTGGAGATGCAGTTAATAGATTGAGTAAATCATCTATCGATAAAATCATTACTACTAATACTGTACCACAAATTGAACATTCACAGTCTTTAGGCGATAAATTAGAGGTATTAGATGTCTCAAGAATCTTAGCCGAATCCATCAGAAGAATCCATAATGGTGAATCAGTTTCTATGTTATTTGATCACGGTTGGTAGACTACCTGTAGTGCGCCAATAGTGAGCACTCTCCAAATTATGTGATCTTCAATCACCTCAATAATATATAATAGATTATAAAATCTTTCTACACGTCTACTATCATTGAAAAGAACCTACCGTTCGTCCGTTGATTCCAGACCCCCCAAGACATTTCCACAAGTTTCCAGAATCCCGGACTTGATGGAAATATCAACAAAGGGAGGGGACCAAACCGTTAGCTTGAAAATTTCGGAATAAATGAAATCTGGGGTAAGTGATGACCAAAAATGGAAATATCAATAAACGGTTGAATCTGGGGCAAAGGTTTTAAGTGACTTGAAAAGGTCAGTCAAAGTTCTTATTCAATGACTGTTGAAATGTCTTACAATATACAAGCCTCTTCATCCTAGCTTTCCAACCATTTTATCGTCCTTCGATTACCGGGCAGAGGTGACTTCGGGAAAATATCACCGAGAATATCTCCCACAGTTTACACAACAACTTACACAACAATCACCTAATTCCAGCAACCACAACATTTCACCAACACTCCCAACCTCCCCACAATTCAACCCTGGCATCCCCCTTATACCTCCAAATGCTTGTACTTTATCGCCACAAACTTCCACTAGCAATATAAATCATCTTAAACTAGAAATTTAAGGCGACATCCTCTTGCCCCACGACATTTGGACTCGTTCTAATTTAGAAGTTTCCTGTATCTAGTTATTATCAATTATACACTTTTGGAACAGACCTTTCTATAAATATTCAACTTCCTGGCGCTTAGTTTAGTTTTTTAAGCAATTCAATAGATTGGTAGATACCACAATTGAATTGATATTAAAACATTCGATAGTTCGAATAATCAAAAACTTCCATTAAACTTTTATCATGTCATTAGATCAAGACTTGCAACATTTAAGTTTGAAGAGGGAACCTTCCAATTCTTCATCAATTAACTCATCTTTAAGTACCAGAGATTATGTAAGTAATCCATTTAGCGGTAAGAAAGATCAATTTGAACAAGTTTTGGATATCTTGGATAATACTGGTTTCATTCCTGAATCATTAATTGAATCAGAAACTAAATGGTTCTATGAATGTTTAGGTATTGATGATGTTTTCTTTGCTAGAGAATCTCCTCAAGGTATTGCTAATCATATTCATTCATTATATTCATCTAAGGTTCAAGCTTTTGCTAATTTAGATCAAAATTCTTCCGATAACACGTTAATTCAATATAAACGTGAAGCTGAGGATCATGCTGTTTATTTCCAAACTTCGAATTCTTCTTCAAGTAGTGTTAATTTTGAAAAAATCATTGATGATAAATACATTGATCCTTCAAATTCTATTGAAAATTCTTACAGAGCTGAATTTTTCCAAACTGAATTAAATTTTAGATCTGATGCGTTATTGTCAGGGATTTTTGAAAAGAACCCTGAAAGTTTGAAAAATCAATTAATTAAATGTTATTTCATTTACAAGAATACTTACAACAAAATCTCCAAATCCAATGAAATTGAAAAAATCGGTGATTCAACTTTTTTGAAGATTGCTTCAAAGAACACTAAAAATTTGTATCAAGAAATTATTAATAATGTCTTACAAACCACTGGTCCTGTTATTAGACATTATCCTGTTGAAGATTCTGAAGAAGTAAGAGTTATTATTGGTTTCAGACAAAAATCAGCTCCAAGATATAATAGTGCTTTATCCGATTTGACTAATTATTATAATTTGAAAATTTCAAGAAAATATGTTGAACAATTTAGTAATGGTGTTACTATAATTTCCATGTATATCAATTCCAACAATAGGAAGAATCCTGTAGATTTATCCATCTATCAAGTTATCAAAGAAGCTTCCTTATTATATACTATTCCACATAATTATTTCCATGATATTTTCGTTAATGGTAAATTTTCAATTCAAGAAAGTATTTATGCTCATTGTGGGGTTATATTTGTAACTCATTTTTTGAATCGTTTAGGTCCAGAATATACTAAATTATCTTCATTATTGGATCCTTCAAAATCAATTCAACATGCTGAAGTTTTAAGTTCTTTGAAGAAAAGATTAAGATCAGAAACTTATACTCAAAACTTTATTCAAGAAGTTTTCCAAAACAGAATTGATATTGTTAAGAAATTATATAGAAATTTTGCTGATATTCATTATATTAGAAGTTCTATGGAAAAGACTTTGAGTTATCAAAGAATCAGTCAAATTACACCTTTCATTAATGAAGAAGAATTTGAAAAAATCTTAAACAGAGAATGTTCTCAAAACGAACACGATGTTTTAGTTTTAAGAGCCCTTTATGTTTTCAATAAATCCATCTTGAAGACCAACTTTTATACTTCAACTAAAGTTGCGTTATCATTCAGATTGAATCCTTCATTTTTACCATCAACTGAATATCCTGAAATTCCTTTCGGTATGTTCTTCATTGTTGGAAGTGAATTCAGAGGTTTCCATATCAGATTCAGAGATATTGCAAGAGGTGGTATAAGAATTGTCAAGTCAAGATCTGTAGATGCTTATAATGTCAATGTTCGTAATTTATTTGATGAAAATTATAACTTAGCAAGTACCCAACAACGTAAGAATAAAGATATTCCTGAAGGTGGATCCAAAGGGGTTATCTTATTAGATCCTGGTATGGCTCAAGATAGACCTCAAGCCAATTTTGAAAAATATATTGATTCTTTGATCGATTTATTATTAAAACAAAATATTCCTGGTGTGAAGGATAACTATGTTGATTTATATAACAAGCCTGAAATTTTATTCTTGGGTCCTGATGAAGGTACTGCTGGGTATGTTGATTGGGCAACATTACATGCCAGAGCTAGAGGAGCTCCTTGGTGGAGATCTTTCACTACTGGTAAATCTCCAGAAATTGGTGGTATTCCACATGATGAATATGGTATGACTAGTTTATCTGTTAGAGCTTATGTCAACAAAATCTATGAACAATTAGGTATAGATAATGCCAAAATCAGAAAAATTCAAACAGGTGGACCAGACGGTGATTTAGGTAGTAATGAAATTTTATTGTCTAGAGACGAAAAATATGTTGCTATAGTTGATGGATCAGGGGTTATTGCTGATGTTAATGGTTTGGATAAAGCTGAATTGATCAGATTAGCTAAAGAAAGAAAGATGATTGATCATTATGACACATCCAAATTATCATCAACAGGTTTTGTTGTATTGGTTGATGACGTTGATAAGGAGTTACCTAATGGAACCGTTGTCACCAGTGGTGTCAGTTTCAGAAACACTTTCCATTTGAAAGTTGGTGAAGTTTTAGATAACGATGCCATTGATTTATTCGTTCCTTGTGGTGGTAGACCTTCAGCCATTGATACTAACAATGTCCATGAATTAATTGATCAAAAAACCGGCAAGTCTATCATTCCATATATCGTTGAAGGAGCCAATTTGTTCATCACTCAATCAGCCAAATTAATCTTAGAACATGCTGGTTGTGTAATTTTCAAAGATGCTTCCACTAACAAAGGAGGTGTGACATCTTCATCATTAGAAGTATTAGCTGCTTTATCATTTGATGATAAGGGATTCTTATCACACATGTGTGTAGGATCTGATGGTACTGTACCAAAATTCTATCAAGAATATGTTAAACAAGTTCAAAAAATCATCGTTAATAATGCCCAATTAGAATTTGAATCTTTATGGGCTTTAAATAAATCAACCGGTATAACGTTTACTGAATTATCAGATAAGTTATCTGTAACTATCAATAAGTTAGCTGACGAATTGGCCAATTCAAATGAGTTATGGAATGATGATAAGAAATTTAGAAATGCTGTGTTATTAGATTCTTTACCAGATTTGTTATTGAATGAAATTGGTATTGAAAAGATCTTGTTAAGAGTTCCAGAAACTTACTTGAAAGCACTTTTTGCTTGTCATTTAGCTTCAAGATTCGTTTATTCCAGAGGTATTGATTCCAATCCTGCCAAATTCTTAGAGTTCATCTCTTCAATTAGAAAGGATTTTGTTAGTAAGGGTTATCTTTAGTTTATATATTAAGTGGTTTTATTGCACTCTCTTCTTTCTGTGAACATCTATGAATTCGGTGAAATCGGGTGTCCAACGGTTAGCTAGATCTCTTGGTCTCATTTCGAACTTGATCTCTCAGACTAAGATTCCTCAACAATCTTCTTCCTTTCATCAACTTCATCTTCCATCTTCGTCAATACATAGTCACTAGCAAATGCCATGACCATCATGGACGTACTGATGTACAATCTACTCTGGAAAGACAAGGCCATCCATCTTTGATAAAGATTCATCATGGTGAAAATTTCGCAGAATATCGCGAGTAGTTAAAGTGTAGATGTGTTACTCGAGTTGTTGAGCAAGCTGGTTTGGCTTGGAATACCACAGATCAGGCTATCTCAAGTCAATTGAATTCCCCAAATCTTTTGTGGTTAGGGCCATCGGTTAGAAAGAAGATCGAAACGTTTTGGAATAACTTCCTGAGCAAGAGAAGCTAGTTTTTTGCCTCATCACCTACCAGCTTCTTACTTCCATTATCTCCTAAATCTCTTCGGACCATCTCTTCGAACCATATCTTCCTCTTCTAACCATTGTGCAGATTCGGTAGAGAGGATGCTTGAGCACTTGGACCATGGATCAAATACTTTCGCATCGCATCCTATTATGAAACTGTGTGAGAGATTACTGGTATTTAAGACGATATTACCACCATGTTGTGTGAAGTATTACCCACAAGACCCTACGATTCTTTTTATATCAACATACAAACTTGAAGAAGGTAAGAAGTTTGGAACCATAGATATCTACAAGCACAAGGATGAACCCCAGTTAGTTAAAAGTATTGATACATCAGCTATCTTGGATTTGAAAATCCAAGGAGACAGAGTTGCCACAGCTCATTCGGATGGAAAAGTTGTACTTTGGAAGTTTGAAGTTGAAGACTTGGAGCTCACACAGATCAATGACTTTCATATGTTCGAAGATACTGTCACCTCAGTGAATTTTAGAGATGATAAGGTGGTTGCAACATGTACTGATGGATCGATATCGATATTGGACTTGAATGATGGAACTTTTGGAGAACTACCAACCCGCCATGACTTGGAATGCTGGATCAGTGAGTTTGGTGAATTGGGTGAAATGTCTAATGTGGTTTTCACTGGTGGTGATGATTCTAAAATGATAGCTCATGATTTAAGAACCCAAGAAATGATTTGGCAAACCGGACCTAGATTTCACGATGCAGGGGTGGTTTCCATACTTTCTGCCAAACCAACTTGGAATAGTAACAATCCAAATCAATTGTGGACGGGGTCTTATGATGATAACTTGAGAATTATGGATTTAAGACTTATGGATCCTCAAAACCCTAGCTTAATGACAGGGTGGTTGCCTAAGACTCTTCAACAGGAAAACTTGGGGGGTGGAGTTTGGAGACTTATACCTTCAAACACTGACAATAGAGTATTGGCTTGTTGTATGTACGATGGAGCTAGAATTGTAGATATCAAGGACGATAAATTCGAAGTGACTAGATATTTCAAAAGAGATCATGAAAGTATGTGTTATGGTGGGGATTGGAAAGATAACATTGTCACTACTTGTTCTTTCTACGATAATGTAGTACAGGTTTGGGATCCTGAGAGTTCAATAGATATGTAAATAGTATTTTGTGTATTAATCAAACGCAGATAAATCCAAGGGGACTGATGAGCCTCTACCACTAGGATAAAGCTTAACTCTATCAGCATCGAACCTACGAGGATGAGGTATGGCTTTAGCGTTGGAAAATTTGAATCTACTAGAATCTTCGATTTTTATGTGACTGGCTCCACCGTTTCCATTTCTTCCTGAAGTATTGATGGTGTAGGCCAGTGCTGATATTTTTCTTAACGACTCACCTGACTGCTGTTGTTGTTGAAGATTGGAGGTGTTGCTTGGAGGTGCAGGTGGAGGTGCTGCCTTTTTATATGGTTTTCTCTCGAAAGCAGATGCAGATGGAGTTGGGGCAGAAGGGGTTGGGGGTAATGTGCTTGGAGCTGGAGGTAATGAATTTGGAACTGATGGAGGTGGAGGAGGAACTGAATGTGGCATTGAAGGTGGACCAGGAGGAGTTGGAACTGATGGAGGAGTTGGTGGTAAAGTAGGAGGAGCAACAGGTATAACAGGCACTGGGGTTTGAATTTGCTCATCTTCTGAGTCAGTTTCGAATCCAGAACCTGAACTATCATCATCTTGTTGTGAAGGCATTGGTGCACCAAATACAGGAATAGGAGGTGCCGTTACCTTAGGGATTGAAGGTACCTTGGGTGCTGGTGGAATAGAAGTAGGCATTGAAGGTACAGGAGGTGCCATGGTGGGTAGTTTTGGAGGTGCTGGGATTGAAGCATTGCTTTTCGGAGCCGGTGGAAAACCATTAGGTATTTGAGGTATTGAGGATGTTGGTAATTTGGGAGCTGGAGGAGCTCTGTCTGATAATGGCGCTTCCATAGGAGTCTGATTCCTAGAAGGACCAGATGAGGCCACAGACGAATCGTCTACCACAAAGGTTTCATTTCTTCTGGCGTTAATTTGTGCTAAAAAGGGTAAACCACCCGCCATAGGATTTGGGGAGCTGCTTGCAGGAGTATCAGTATGAGAAGGTGGAGGAGGTGGCGGTGGTATTGGCGTTGAAGTTGCAGAAGGAGCAAAGGAAGGCATTGGGGGAGGTGGAGGTGGAGCCGAAGGTGTGGAAGGTGCTGGTGGTACTCCTGTGGGTAATGGAGGAGGGGGAGGAGCTCCGAAACTTGGAACAGGAGGGGGACCTGAAGGGACAGTTGGAGGATCCTCGAATGATTTGGAAGATGATATTGAACTGTTCTTTAAATGTCCGGATTTCTTTGGTCTTGATGGTGGCATTTTTGGTACTTCTAGACTTGGAGCAGGCGGAGCACTTGAAGGTATTGGAGGAGGCCCACCAGTAGGTAATGGAGGAGCTGATGGAGCTTTATTAGGTCTTGAATTAGGCATTGGAGGTGCAGTTGGTGGTACTGATGGAGGTGTTGGGGGTAATGAAACAGGAGGAATTGCTTGAGCAACTTTTGAGGGGGGTCTAGCACTAGGAAGTGATGGTGTGGATTGAGTCATTCCTGGAATGGAGGGAGCAGAAGAAGGTATCTTACCCGATCTATTATCTTTTGTTGACTTCAATTTGGGCATTCCACCAGCAAATATATCACCTAACTGAGGAGGACCACCCATCGGAGGTGGCGAAGATGCTCCCATCCCACCCACTGGAGCACCCTGTGGAGGACCTGTAGACACAGAAGCAGCGGTCTTCGAATCTATGATTGGCTTGGATTTATCAATTGTGGTAGCTTTCTTTAATTTCATACCTTTTCTGATATCACCTAAAAGAGCATCTCTTCCAGGAGTAACAGCAGGAGGTGAAGGCATTGAATTACCACCGCCTAAATTAGGCATTGGTGGAGGAGGAGGAGGACCACCAAACCCACCGGCAGGAGGAGGGGGTGGAGGTGGAGGAGGAGGACCGGCCATAATTATTTCAGTTGTTTGAGATTTATGATTCGAAAATGATCACTAAAGCTGTGCGATCGCACCGCACCAAAAAGGGATCAATGGACTTAACTGGGTGTACGGGTGTGAACCGTGTATATACTATAATAAAAAGAGTTCTATTTAAAAGGTGATTATTTAATTCTAAATGTAAGGTTATCATAACCAAATAACCATGGACCAATGGTGTGTCTAACTAAGATCATGGTGACACCTAGGACTAGTTGTTGGGAAAGGATTAACATACATAAGGTATCTTCTCTTAAAGGACCAAACCATACAAGATTCAAGTTTATAATGGTCATATTGGAGAATTCGGTGATATTACCTTGAGGGTCCTTTTTCAAATCGATGAATTTGAAGAATGAAAAAGTTTTGAGTAAGAAAGTGGCTGATGCTAACTTCTTTCCTGACAATGCAGATATTTCTCCATAACTGGGATACATCAAATTATCTTTGGCGTTATATTTGGGTAATCTGTGTCTAGGACAAGGAACAATGTGGAATAATTGAGGAACTGAGTAGATGAAATTGATGATCTGAGGTAAGAAGAAGATCAATAAAGTTTTGGAGAAATGACCCAAGATCCCAACTTGAGCAAATACCATTCCACTGAAATAGCAGTAAGTGTCACCCACGAAAACTTTTGATGGGAACCAATTGAATCTCAATAATCCTAAACTTACACCTAAGAATGGAACTAAAAAGATCATTGAAAACAAATGGGAATCATAAGCTGCACTATTAGAATCTAAAGTGAACAAATAACAAAAATCATTCAATAAAAAGATAATGGAGAGAACCACCGATTGACCAACTTCTAAACCATTTATACCTGCTAAAATGTTGATGGAATTAGGACAGAAAATTGAAATGGCTGACATATAAATATAATAGAAAATCCCTAAATCTAATAATTTAGGATCATCTTTAGGTACAAGGAAGTCAGTGGACAAAGTATTGAAAGAAAGTCCAGTAACATAAGTGGCTGCATGATTACCTAATCTGACAACTTCATTCAAAATTGATAATAGAACATCACCTAAACCAAAAGGAATGTGGGATGTGACGAATGATGGGATAACAATTGAGGTAACACTAAAATCAACGTAATAAACGATTAATAAAGGTAAAGATGCAACTGCAGGTAAAAAGAATTTGTGTCTCCATCTTATATCGAATAAATCATCAAATAATCCCAATAAGATGGTTCCTTGTAAACAAATGATAGCACTTAAATACTGGGATAACTTATTATGAGGAAAAAGCTTTGTATCATCAATAGATTCATATTGTTCCAAGTAATTATTAGTCTGATAAGCATCATTAGCCAAATTCAGGTACGACACCAAATACTTGAAAAACACAAAAGGAATCATTCCAAACATCAAGAACAAGTAGGTGATAGCACTAACTACCCCCATTGTTTCAGGGATTTCAGGGGGGTTTCCCAGTTTTGACATGTCTCTACCTTTCAATCCTATTTTAATAAACGAGTTACCTACTCTGGGTATGATAGTTACCGTTACGAGGTATCCGATTATACTAAAAGCACCAGCTGTTTTAAAAGGATTATTTGGAGTTATCATTGATATCGCCAACACCAACAATGACAAGTTTATCAATCTCCCCATCATATTCACTGGTGTTTACTTGTTCAAATCGTCTTTAAATATGAAAGGCTTAAGTTTCGCGAATGTTGATAGCCATGAAACCATTTATCACGGGGCATGAAGAATTGATTCATGATATAAAATATGATTTCTATGGTAAGCACATAGCTACATGTTCATCTGATCAACATATAAAAGTATTTGATTTAGATTCCACCACCAATACTTGGGTTCTTAATGATCTGTGGAAAGCTCATGACTCGCTGATAGTTAAACTAAGTTGGGCTCATCCTGAATTCTCCAGTTCGAAGTTGCTTGCTTCATGTTCATACGATAGAACAGTGAAGATATGGCAAGAACAACCTGATGAATTACAAGGGTCAGGAAGAAGATGGTTGAAATTGACGACATTGGCTATTGAATCTTATGGACCTATTTATGACGTTGTATTTGCACCTAATCATTTTGGTCTTAAATTAGGATGTGTAGGGAGTGATGGTATTTTTAGAATCTATGAAAGTTTAGATCCTTCGGATTTGACCAATTGGTCTTTAACTGTTGAAATTCCCATTTTAAATCAACAATTACCAGCAAAAAATTTACAGAGTAGTTTCTCCATTGAATGGTGCCCATCGAAATTCTCCAGTTCTGAAAAGTTCATAGTGATTGCACTTGACCAAGGATTCATCTATTCTTCTGTGGAAACCAAAAAGACTGATATAGCCGAAGAAGGTAATGAACAAGATATTAAATATAAGAAAATATGTAATTTACCCGAACATAATGGATTGATTAGATCTGTTAGTTGGGCTCCTTCCATGGGGAGAGGATATCATTTGATTGCCACTGGGTGTAAAGATGGTTATGTCAGGATCTTCAAAGTAATAGAAAATTCAAAAGCTTTCAAAATCGAAACTATAGCAGCTTTAAATGATCACAACGGAGAAGTATGGAGAGTAAATTGGAATCTCACAGGGACGATATTGAGTAGTGCAGGAGATGATGGTAAAGTCAGATTATGGAAATGTAATTATTTGAATGAATGGAAATGTATGAGTATAATAAATAGTAGTAATAGAGATGAGACTAGAATTGATCAAGAAGAGATGGAACCATCAAATTAAATATATTAAATTTTTCTTTGCTTCTTCTTAAGTTGAGTCTTTTGTTGAGTTTTTTGTGGAGTCTTTACATTTGATAATAATTGATCCCATATATCATTATCATCACTTTCACTTTCATCACTTTCATCATTATCTTCATCATCGGACTCGACAGTTCTCTTTTTAACAGTTTTCTTAGGTGGTTCTTCGACTACTTTATCATCTTCTAAGATAATCAAACTCGAGATTTGAGTTCCAATATAAGCTTTCACTACTAATTCTCGGGATTCAAGATCATAAATTCTGAGATATCTATCTAAACCACCACAACCGACATATTTTCCTTCGAAGTTGTGAATAGCATGTGTAGCACCAGTATTACTACCTTCAGAATATTTACCTAATAATTTAAGTGAAGGTCTTTTTAAAGTACCTGAAGTAGCAGTGTTAATCTTAGTAGCGTTAGAATCAAATTTTGTAAGTGAATATTTCCCTATCAAACTGGTAGTGTCACTTAAGATGACTTCACTGTTGTTGTTACACAAAGTTAATTGAATAATCGGTTTATCACCAATCTTAAAATCATTCAAGGGTCTTTCATTATTCATATCATAAATACGTAATTGTCCATATTTGGTAACAGTAATGAATTTTTCTTTCTCGAGGAATCTTATACCTTTGATGCTTATAGGAACTCTCAAATCTAAGTGATTGTCTGGAACATTTCTGAAGGTCTTAACGACTTCAATAGTGAATTTGGATAAGGATTTTGGTGGTTTATCGAATAATTTTATAATTTTAACATCATTTTCTTCTCCTCCGAAAGCGAACTCTCCATCTTTATAAGGATTTTCCACGAATGTAACGATAGGTTTGACTTTCTTTGTGTAAGGTATTATTAATTCTTTATGCTTATACAGTTTGAGATCCACTATAAAGATCTTATTTGTTTCGAATGCAGCAATAACGTAACCCAATCTGGAATAATTAACAAGGGAAACTGGTTTATCTTCACATAATGATAAGCTTTTAATAAGCTTGAAATCGTCGTCTTCTTTTGTCATATCATAGAAACATAAATCTCCATTGATTCTTAAGGTAACAAGTTGGTTATCAATTTGGATCATTTCGAGAACTCTGGCTCTTAAAGATGCTTGAGGTTGATTACAAAGCTTGTTTATGGATTCTGGCTTAACACCATCCTTTTTAGATGTGTCAGTACCTTTTGTACATATTATTTCTTTAACTAAACCAGTTTCATCTGAAGATACTAACACTCTCATGGTTGAAAAATTTAAATGCGATGGATTTCGTATCTCATCGAGGAAAGCTCTTTAAAGAATGAACATCGAATGAGGGTCAATGGGTATGAAAATAAGCAGGTTACATTACTGAAGCCCTAATATATGTATATATGTTATTAAAAATAGTGAAAAGCCCGTTTTTGGATTTGAAGTTTTACTATAGGATCAAAACCATCCCAAAGACTCTCAATAAAATCCGTGATAGTTTAGTGGCTAGAATTACCGTTTGTCGCATGGTAGACCGGGGTTCAATTCCCCGTCGCGGAGCGCGCCGTTGGTTTAGTGGTAAAATTCAACGTTGCCATCGTTGAGCCCCTGGTTCGATTCCTGGACGGCGCATTTATTTTTTAGTTTCAAACTGTTCGTTATCTGGATATAACGGACAGGTTGAACTTATTTTTTGTTTGATGGTAAAATGAATCAATTGAGGTTATTTCGCGTTGGCTGCAAATAATGATAGGATAATAAAGATAGTTCAATGGATCTCAATCAGGTAGATTTGATTGGAAAAGTCTCAAGACAAAACATCTCTTTGTCCATTCACCACAGAACAACAGAACATCTGCTTTAAGCGTTTTAACCCTATTACCATTATTGGCACCACCCACCCAGATCAGAAAATCTCCGCGCATCAACAATCTCAATCATGGTGTGGATCGATACTATTGAAAACCTGTCACCATTGCTAGCCAATGAAGACATTTTACAAGCAATTGACATCTTGCATACTTCAATTATTGCATTATTAACCCCCAGAAGCATTATTTTGATACATCAACAAACATTATTGCCATTAACAGTACATACGAGAAGCGAAGAATCAATCAAACAACATGGATTAAACAAGGAAATTAAAACTAAAGAGATTAATGTCAACTATGGAGAATTACAGAAATTGAATATAGCCAATTTATTTTGTCAAACGGATGAAGATTATCTTATTATCTTCCAAATTACAATTGATCCTACCAAATCAATATATGAAGTTCATGACAACAATTCCACGAATAACAATGAAATACTACAAAAGATCTACCCCACCAGTTATTCTAAATCCAAGTTCCTGATACAAAACATTTTCAACAATGTAAAGAATCTAATCAACGAAGTAACTTTGAACCTTGAAAATGTGGAAAATTTCAATAATTATCAACAAGAAGAAGATAAGCTTAATGGAGATATTGAATTTACGAAGATGTCTATTTTCAAAATAATCAAAGTTGCCATTGGGATTGAAAACGTTTGGGTGAAATCCAACAGTCACAATATTTTCGTATATAATAATAATTGCATACAAATCATCAACATCAAGAATATGAATAATGAAGTAATCTATTTGAACGAGTTGGAATGGTACAATGGTAAACAAATCAAGTTCATTGATTATTGCAAGGGAGGATTTGTGTTTGTCAATGAATCAGATGAGATTTGGTGGCTAAATGTTACTGATTTACCTGATATCTCAGGATATCAATTTGAAGGAACTTTCAAAGATGTTGAATATATAAAATTCAACCCGGTATTTGATCTACTTATAATATATCAGAAGAAAAGAGGCGAAGACCTAGAAAATGATGAGATCCTCCACAACAATGTATTGAACTTGTACAAACATGAAAAGGAGAGATTAGTGTTTTTACAGAAAATCGAGTATGATTTAGGTAACTTCCAGTATTTAACAATCGACTGGTGTTTCAATGGGAATTTCTTTGTACTTCTTTCAGACAAAGGGTATTGGACAATTATATCCAAATTCGGTAATGGAACCACCAATACTTTGAATATCAGTAACGAATTGAATTATAATTTCTTACTCACCGATAAAGTACTTATCGGTAGTAACGGTCATTTCTTATACCTAATCAATAATGAGACCAAGATGATTTCTAAAGTGGGCTTAACCAGTTTGAATAATGATGAAGATTTAGTATTGGTAAACCAGAATTATATTTCGACTATACATAACAATAAGATTGTAAAATTCCCAATGTTGCCAGTGTTTAAGAAAGTTTTGAATGTAATGGAAGATAAACAATGCAAGTTTAAAGTCTCAATCAACGATACTAATCAATTTATTATGACTTTTGGTAATCAAATTTCAGTATCTACACCTTTTAGAGAAGGAACTATCAATCCATTACGTCATATTGTATGGTATCATTTTAAAAACTATTATATGGAATCCCTTAATATCATACAACATATCTGTTATAAGAATTACATTCTTTTGATCAATCGAAGTATGAAAGAAATCAATAACAAGGATAAATTAATAGATGAGTTGATCATTATTAATATCGAGGATTTAAAATATGGTGATGGAGGTAGTCAAATTCATTTTGATAGTGATTTGATTGTTTGGAGACAAAAGTTTAACAATTTGATTTTAACTGTTGATATAATCAATGGGAATTTGGCTGTTCTTGAAGATACCAACTTCAAGATTCTCTTATTCAAGATTTCAAGAAACACGAAGATCAATGAAAACTTCTACAAATTCCATATCAAGGTCATAAAGACCATTTACTTAAACGATATACCAGGAGATTTCGATGTTAGTAAAGTGATCAAATTAGACATAATTAATGCTAACAATGATATAATATTCTTGTTGAATAATGGAGATTTCTTCCTCCTTAAAAGTCAATCGAACAAAATCCTTCTTACTAATTTTTATCAATTGATCAAAATCAATGAAAGTATTGAGAATTTCAAAATCAACAACATCATATTATCGGAAGATTTGGTGAAGTACATTTATTTGTTTAAAGGAAACTCCATTTTGATTTACAATTTGACCAATTTAATCGATTTATCATTTGATAAGTCCATTCATATCACCGATGGTATTGAAGATATTGATCTTCCTTCATTGATTCAACCCATAATTGTCAACTATACCAGTTATCAACCTTTAAAGATCTTACAAAATGATAAAACCATTAATCTCATAGGATTGCAAGATTTGATAATAAACAACAACATAGTCAAGCTAAAACTCAATTACAATTTGATCTTGAACAATCTCATTGAATTTGATTTAATCAATAATATTCCTTTGGATGACATCAAGTTGAAATTTAACACATTTGAAAATTTCAGTTATTGTTTAGAATTGTTACTTTTCAAGTATTTAACTAATGATGATACTGAATTGTTAAAGAAACTAGTAAAACTCATAGATAATGATCTTATCATTTTCATTAATTGTCTCCGGAAAATTGAGTTCAACTATTGGTCTAAATTTTTCAAAGTTTTAGGGAAAACTCCTATAACTATGATGGAGAACATTCTTCACGAGAATAACGTCGAATTATGCTATAACTTCTTAATCATTTATTTAAATTGTAAAAAAGAGGGGGAGATCAATGGTGAATTAGACAAAGATGATAAGTTAATAATCATGAAGATTTTGAAATTATTGGATAGCGAAAATAGATGGGATTGGTGCTTCGAGTTATGTAGATTTGTTAAGTTATTAGATCCTTCCAGCGAATTTTTGAAAGCTGTAGAAATTGAAATATTTAAATAGACGTTTTCCTCTCATGCAAGTTCATGCAAGTTGAGAGATTTTTACGAGCAGACAAAAAAAAAAAGGTTGCGAAAAATAAATCCATAAATCCACAGATACTATTCATCTCGATTGTGTAATGGATAAAGCTGAAATTTTGAAGAGGCAAATTTTGGGAGCTGACAATTTGACGATCAGAGAAGGTTTATTTCTACCCAACGAGGAAGGGAAATTTGCGAGACTTCCGTTCAAAGACTATAAGTTGCTTCAAGAAGTTATAGAAGAGTTGGAATGGAAAGCCACCTACAGGGTTTATTTTTCACTTCCACACCGAGTAAGTTTCATAGAGGATAAAGTAATAGTATTGGAATATGCTTATCTCTTTGATATCAGAGATGCATTCAGGATAGGTGATTCTTCTAATTCTTTTCCAAAAGGGTCCGAAAATCCAGCTGACCATTTTTTAAGGGATATCATTCCTCGATGGACAAGAAGGTTCAAAAATGACTGGCTCGATTCGAAATTTTGCCAATTAGATAAAAAGCTAGGAAGTATTTGGTCAGAGTTGGGTACGTATACTGAGAACGATGACAAAGATACCACTACTGAATTATACAAATTATATGAAAAAGTTTACGACTTACCAAGTAGGTTTCCTGGAGAAATTGAAATCACTAAGGGCTGTGAAAAGTTCACTGTAGCCGAAGAATTTCATACCGAGGTTAGCTCTATATTGGGAAGATATTTTGCTGCGTTAGGTTTGAATGTCACGGCCAGCGGAACTCACTTCAGTTTAGGTGGGTCCCATTTTAAAGAAAAACCAAGCGTTTTATTCAGAGAGGGGGGAGAAAATATCCCCTTCTTCATTGAGTTCAAACGAAATGGATTGATCGATTATGTGGATGAGAATGGTCTAAAAGATAAGAAGGAAATTAACTCAATTATGAAACAAGTACTGAAGTACATGTTAGCCACAGGGTCTGACTGTGGCATTATAACTGATCTTGAGGTCTCAATTTTGATCCAACTTGACTTTGAAACCACTTCCGGAAGTACTGAAAAAATAATTCAAGAGGATGGAAAAGCTACAACAGTTGCAATTTTACCCTTTCAGTATTATGTTTTTCATCCGAATGATACAATTTACACCTTACAAGCAATAATATGTTCGGTGGCTTACGATCAGAAGCTTCGAGCTGAAGATCCAATTCAGAAGGAAAATGTTGAACGGTTGAGGGCTTTGATAGTTCAAGAGGATTCTGAATTACAAATACCCAAATGTGATGGGAGAAGCAAATTTAGGCGTGGAAGCGGAATTCAAACCAGTCATCTAACAAGTTCATCTACGATCTCACTTAACCCATCATCTTCCATGGGTGAAAAGAATAACAATCCTCAAACCAATGGACAAAAGAGCTGGAGTCAGTACAAGCAGCTGAAATTCATTTTGAATGAGGGAGATTTCGAAGTCCTTCAACCGGGAGGGTACTATTTAAGTACAGTTTATAAATTGAACAGGGCTGCAATAGATAAGAACTTGTCACATTTGAATATTCCCCAATCAGTGTCACATGTTATTATGAAAGTATACGACTTGTATAAAGCAAATTTTTTCACTGAATACAATGAATGGAAAATCAATTACAGTGGACTCAAAATCTACATGGGTGAAAAGTTTAGTACGGAAGTTGAATGTAACATACGTATAAACACTTACAATGAATTTAGAAGTCAAGAGGATTACCTCAGAGTTCCTAAAATGTACGAATTTGGAGGGGGGTTCGTTCGAGACGGTGATAGAATGCTTTCTTTTGGGTGGTATTTGATACTGGAGTTCATTGAGAAGGACGAGGATCAAAGATTTAGTTTAGAAGAAGCGAAAAAGCAAGTAAACCTCCTAGGAAGCTTGGGGATCCAACACAACGATATCTACCGGAGAAATGTCCTTGTATCTAATGGGAAATTCAATCTCATTGATTTCTCAGAAGCCTCTTTCGATGAAATTGATCTTCGTAGGGATTTGAATAACCTAGAGCACGTTTGGTCAAGGAACATGGACCAAGCTCAGAGTGAGGATGGACCAAGCTCAGAGTGAGGGATAAATCAAACGGGCCAAGCATATGAACTCTTGCGGGGATTAATATGGGGTCCAAACATACTTAGGACTGCACAATCTTACAAAAAGACTACCATTCAACCAAACGATATTGATATACCCATTTTTTCAGATTATATGGTTGAGGTCATTCTGGTGCAAGACTCGAAATGAATTCTCGGCTATCTGAATAACCTCAAATCCTTCAACAATACCGGAATTGTTTGATTATGCTTACTTCGCCATATGTCATTTAGGTATAGTAGTGATTTGAATATTTAAATCAGCTTCTTTAAATATTTGCTTACATAATCACAGAATCTGAGATTTTTTTTGTAGTAGATAGGGAAATAAAATGAAGTTTATCTCTTCTAACAAACATCTTGTGGGAACCAAAGTACAGAAGTAAAAGGCTTCGAAAGGTAAATCATTTCGAAATTCCAAAAGCCCACAAGTCAAACACCAGTTGGGCCATCACAATATTTATGATCCATACACGACATTCGCACCTACTTCGACCAACCAAAGATTCGCAAAATAATCAAACCCATAATGACATTACCAACAGCATTTGCAGAAACAACTAAACGTTCTGCTACTCAAGCAGAATTAAGACAAAGAGTATTGCATTTATACCGTAGGTATATGAGATATTCCAGAGAAATGAGTGATATATATGAATTGGATATGCCAGTGTCAAACATCAAAACCAAGATTAGACAAGAATTTGAAAGACAAAGATTCGTTAATGATTTAGGAGTTTCAAATGTATTATATATGAAAGGGCAAATGGAATTCCAAGAATTAGTCAATTTCTGGAAACAACAATGTCATGTTTTAAGATATTTCGATGATCAAAAGAAATATGGAGCTGTGGATAAGAACGATTTTATTAAGAATTTCTTAAGAGGTAATTAGCATAATAAAAGGATAGAGATCTTGAAGTACCTCTTTACACTCTTTGAACCAGGATTCTGAAATGTCGGACCTGGGGGCAGAACCATCACATCCTGTTTAATTAGTACCGTTTTGGACTAATTAGTAAAAATCTCTAACAAAAATTGGCACATACGAATAGAGGTAAAAGGTATTAATACATTGGGGAACTACAAAGTTTATTCCATATTATCTTCCATAACTTGTTCATCAGCATAATCATCAAGTTCATCTTCAGCATTATATTCTTGATATTGTTGATATTCATTAACTAAATCATGCATATTAGATTCAGCTTCATTAAATTCATCTTCATCCATACCTTCAGATGTATACCAATGTAAGAAAGCTTTTCTTCTAAACATAGCACTAAATTGATCACCAATTCTTCTAAATAATTCTTGAATTGAAGTTGAATTACCAATAAATGTAGCACTCATATCTAAATCATTTGGAGGAACTGAACAAATAGCAGTTTGAACATTATTTGGAATCCATTCAACGAAATATTGAGCATTCTTGGTTTGCATTTTATACATTTCATCATCAACTTCTTTACTTGAAACATTACCTCTAAAGAAAGCAGCAACAGTTAAATATCTACCATTTCTTGGATCAGAAGCAGCCATCATATTTTTAGCATCAAACATTTGTTGAGTTAATTCAGGAACAGTTAAAGATCTAAAACTTTTAGAACCAATTGAAGTTAATGGAGCATAACCAACCATAAAGAAATGTAATCTTGGGAAAGGAACTAAATTAACAGCTAATTTTCTTAAATCAGAATTTAATTGACCTGGATAACGTAAAGAAGTAGTAATTCCCGACATAACTGAAGAAACTAATTGATTTAATTCATTATATGATGGTTGATTTAATTTTAAAGTTCTTTGACAAATATTATATAAAGCTTCATTATCAATACAAAAAGTTTCATCAGAATGTTCAACTAATTGATGAACTGATAAAGTAGCATTATAAGGTTCAATAACAGTATCACTAGTTTTTGGTGATGGAACAACGGAAAAAGTTGCCATCATTCTATCAGGAAATTCTTCTCTAATTTTTGAAATTAATAAAGTACCCATACCTGAACCAGTACCACCACCTAAAGAATGAGTAATTTGGAAACCTTGTAAAGAATCACAACCTTCAGCTTCTCTTCTAACAACTTCTAAAACTGAATCAACTAATTCAGCCCCTTCAGTATAATGACCTTTAGCCCAAACATTACCAGCACTACTTTGACCAAAAATATAATTATCTGGTCTAAATAAATTACCAATTTTGGAATTTTTAACGGTATCAATAGTACCTGGTTCTAAATCGACTAAAACAGCTCTTGGAACGTATTTTCCTGATGAGGCTTCATTGAAATAAACATCTAATTTTGATCTTTGTAATTCATTAGTTCCATGATAACTACCATTATTATCTAAACCATGTTCACCACAAATGGTTTCCCAAAAGGCTGCACCAATTTGATTACCACATTGTCCAGTTGATAAATGAATCTAGAGTTGTTAGTATTGAGTTTTTAAACGGTTTAAATCAAGTTTTTTCAAGTTGTTTACTTGAAAATCTGGTGATTCTTGTTCATTGATCAATTCCTTAGATCCTGGTGATTTTTCATGATGGAAAGTCCCTTGGAGTTTCCTGTGAGTTCTTCTTAGTGACTGACATTGACAAATCATGAGAAAGTCAACATTTATTGAATAATTCTTTTTACATTGGATGAGTAACTAAATCTAGGGCGCGTAGGGAATCGTACTTGATTTATCGCCTAATTGAACGGTTGAAATGATGAAACTTGACATATAATGGTACATTGACATAGATGATGATACCAATTCATCATAAATCATCATTGAACCTGTGGATTGTGTGATATACATACGATTTCTCTCATTATAAATAAAAAATCTGTTTAACAAATTTAAAAAATTTTTGATCGTGTAAAAATGAGATTTGTTTTGATTTCGTCAAAACATTGGTAGAGACACGCCATAGTTAAGATAAGGGTTTTAGGAAAGGTAGTTAGGATACAGAGCAGGGGGGGATGGTAGGTGGAGGCGGTATGGGGGAAGGTATAAGATGATGGGAGTTTCAGCTGGAGAGTACATGGGGTAAAAGAATAGATGAAAGTAGGGTGGAACACATGAGATAGGAATAGGAGGTAATGAGGTGTGAGATTGTATGATGTAGGAGTTATGGAGGACTTTTCGAATGAGCAGAGAATTTAAGCTGCAAATATTGACCCTGTGAGTTGTAAAGTAGGTCATTGAAGTGGTTTGATGAGTGTTTGGGTGACTAGAAGATCTAATACCCTTTCGTTTTGTCCTGGACATGTGACTACTTGTTAGAACTTCCACAAGTATCCCAGTAATTGCCTCCTTTCACAACTTTCTAATATTAATCTTCACCCTCTCTACAAACAATCCTCATACCCTGTGCAAAAGCTCTCCAAATACTTCGCAAACACTCTTCAACCACTATCACCAAAATCCAAGTTCAGCCCACTTCAACGCCAGCTTGGAAATTCGCGAATTATCAACCAGGATGTCACTTTCAATCCAAAATAGAACGTTTGAATTCCAGCAATGTGTTCAATCATTCGATAAGATCAACAAAAAATCACATACTTCAGACAAAAAACTACCTACCAATAAAAAATCCAAGTTCAATCAACAAGCAAGTATTATTGCCAAAGATTTGGCTCACACCACAGAATTATTAAGTAAATTAGCATTATTAGCCAAAAGGAAACCTTTATTCGATGATAAACCTATTGAAATTGGAGAGTTGACTTATGTCATCAAACAAGATATCTTTAAGATCGAACAAAACTTACAAAATTTATCAAAATTCTTAAAGGGAGATACTTCGATTAATATTGATTCTCAAATTGGTCAATATTCTAAAAACATTGTTAACTTATTAAATTCTAAGATGAAGAATGTTAGTGGAGAGTTTAAAAACGTATTGGAAATCAGACAAAAGAATGAAATCTTGAACAAAAATCGTACAGAAAATTTCTTATCAGCTTCAACAAATAATAGAAGTAATAATCAAAGTCCATTCATGAATGAAAGTAATAATTTGCATATTGGAGAAAATCCATACTTAGCCCAAGCATATAATAACCCCGACTTAGATCCTGATACTTCAGTTCCTTACTCAAATTATAATAATGGAGAATTCTTATCAATACCTGATCAAACCAAACAATTGTTAATGATGGAAGATCAAAGTCAACAATATTTACAACAAAGAAATCGAGCCGTGGAAACTATTGAATCAACCATTAATGAAGTAGGAAACTTATTTCAACAATTAGCTACTATGGTAAGTGAACAAGGTGAAACTATTCAAAGAATTGATCAAAATGTCGAAGATATAAATTTAAATATATCGGGAGCTCAAAGAGAACTTTTAAAGTATTATAATAATATTTCAAGTAATCGTTGGTTATTCCTCAAGATATTTGGAGTTTTAATAATATTCTTCTTAATATGGGTATTGGTTAGTTAGACAATATATATACCTTTGTTTGATATACCTTTGTTTGATATGTTCTCTTTTTAAGTAGGCATAATGTCGTGACAAAAATGTCGCGACATCCAACATCTCAAATTCTCAGTCATTTAAGGATATTTCTCAAAGATAACGAAGAGGAATTTATCTTTTTCACTAATTAAAAGTCAATTATAAAGTAATCATGTGGAATTATCTCTTTGGTGGAAATAAACAACAGAAGAAGGAATTACCTAAAAAGGCGATAGTGGAATTACGTGAACATATTCAAATGTTGAATAAGAAACGTTCCCATTTAGAACAACAAATTACTGATCAAGAGAATTTAGCTAGGAAATATGTTAGTTCTAAACAAACTACATTAGCAAAGAATGCTTTAAAGCGTAAGAAAGGATTTGAAAGTAATTTAATGAAAATTGAAAACCAAATTGATTCATTAGAAACTCAATTGTTTGCTATTGAAGGAGCTAATTTGAATTTAGAAACCATGAAAGCAATGAAACAAGGTGCAAGTGCAATGAAACAAATCCATGGAGAATATGATGTCGATAAAGTTGAAAATACTATGGATGATATTAGAGAACAAGTTGAATTGGCTGATGAAATCTCTGAAGCTATATCGAGACCTGTTGGTAATGATTATGTTGATGAAGATGAATTAGATGAAGAATTAGCTGCTTTACAAGAAGAACAACAACAAATCAGTCAACCTAAAGTTGAAACCAAAATACCTGATGAGAAATTACCTGATTTCCCAACTGTTAGTAAATCAAAACCTCAACAAATTGAAGAAGATGAAGATGAAGAAGCTTTGAAAGCCTTACAAGCTGAAATGGGTTTATAGATAATGATACATGTTTAATATAAGTAATGAAATGTAAGGAAGTTAGGAGTTGGGGACCCCCTCCAATTGTAATCGACTATATTAATACTCTTGTGAGGTTTAAATTCGCACTAAATTAGGTCTATTGATTAGTACCATTCTCTGGGTAAATTTACTACCATTGTCGCACTATTTGCTCACTCATCTTGATGAGATGTGTGAAAAAAAAAAAAATTTCAAACACCATAATGTTTAGAATAAGGAAACAGTCTCTAAACAGGAAATTAAAACTACAATGTTTTATATCGACGACAAAATCCAAACCTAATCATTTGCATACGTATCAACCTCGAGAAACTTTGGGATTATCTTATAGTCAAATCTTACCTAAACAATTAGATCTTTCACCTACAAGAAATTCATCAAAAGTATTATTCAAAGGATTAGATCCAAAATTAAGGATTAAAGATGAAGAAATGTTCCAAGCAATTCCTTGGTCTTCACAATATGATTCTGTCACGAGAAATCCTTTTGCTAAGGATTTGCATCATTTACAATCATTATTAGATGCGTTACTAACATCGAGGAATTTCAAAAGAGCCGATAAAATTCTAGAAACTATCTTTGAAATCACCATGAAGAGTAGGAATGAAAGTTCTCATAAAGAATACCTTTTTGCATTGAATAAATATCTTGAAAATTATGCTACACAAAAGAATATCACTGTTCATGATTTAGAGAAATATTTCAATGAAAGTTTTAATGGTATGACCCCGACGAAAGATGATAAAACTTATGCTATTTTGATAGCAAAAGCTTTAAAAGATAATGATTTCAGGAAATATGAACGTTACTTATCGGAAATCATCCCTTATAAGACATTAACCAAGAATACTTTGAGTCATATTGATATCTTAGGAGTAGATTATATCATCAACATTATTAAGAATAAAGATATTGAAAAAGGTCATATCCCTGAGAATTTCATCCCATTATATGAAGAAGTTTATCAAAGTAATGAAGAAAATGAAAATTTGAATAAGATTGAATCCATTTCTAAGGATTTAGATCAATTGAAATCTGTTGATTCTTTCGGTTTGAAAGTTATCAGAAATACTTTACTTGGATTGAATGCTGAAACTAATGACTCGCAAAATCTTATTAATGAAATGATTAAAGATTTAGAGAAAGGTTTAAATAAGGATTTTTCTGAAACCGGAGAAAGAGATTACTTTAAATTATATAAATTCTTGAAAACTGATGAAGAAAGACAAAAATATATCGAAGCTTTGGATATCTTCAATTTAACAAGACAAAAGTCTGTGGAGTTAAAAGGTAATAGTTCAGCTTTAGAGAGATGGAAACATACAAGTAATGATTTAAAGAAACGAGGAGTTTTATCAATAAATAAGAAATTGAATGATTATTTATTTGAATGGTATGAACAATTAGTACCTCATATCATTGAAGAAGCTAAATTATGTAAGAAAGTATTGAATGGAGAAATCAATATTGATAAACTTGATCCTTCAGAAAGAGCAGTTTATAAAGAAAGACAAATTTATAGCCCATATTTTGTTTTGGTTACACCAGAAAAGATGGCTGTAGTGACAATTTTAGAACTTTTGAAACTTAATTCCAGTAATGGAGTTATGGAAGGTATGAAAACTGCCAAAGCTTTAGTTACTGTTGGTAAGGGAATTGAAGTTGAATATAAATCACAAAAATTATTAGATTCAGATAATAAATTTGTTTCTAAGAAAGCTAGAAGTTCAAGAGAATGGGATAAAATCATTAGAATCATCAAGAATCATCATCCAAATAGTACCAATACCAAAGAATTCGATGAATGGGATGGTCAAACACATCTTAAGATTGGTGCTGTTCTCACCAAATTATTATTACAAGTAGCTAAAGTTACTGTTCATGGTACTGATCCAACTACTGGTAATAAAGTTAGTGGATTATTACCAGCATTTACTCAAAATTTCGAATACATGAAAGGTCAAAAATTAGGGGTATTGAAAGTTCATAAGAAGATTGCTTCATTATTACAATCAACTGATGAAACCACTTCATTAATTCCTGATTATTTACCAATGTTATCACCTCCAAAACCATGGACTTCATACAATGTCGGAGGATATTTATCCAGTTCGACATTTTTGGTGAGAACTAAAGAATCTGCTGAGACATTTGCTTATGTTAAAGCAGCTTCTGAAAGAAATGATTTAGTTAAAGTTTATGATGGATTAAATGTTTTGGGTGACACTGCTTGGACAGTTAATAGAAAAGTTTTGGAAGTTATAACGAAATATTGGAATACTGGAGAAGAATTTCTTGATATTCCTCCAGATATTGGTGAACCAAAATTACCTGAACCAGTAGCTCCAAATTCTGAACCTGAAGTTCTTAAAGATTATCAAAGAAGAGTTAAAACTGCTGTTAATTTGGCATCAAGTCTTAAATCTCAAAGATGTGAAACTAATTATAAATTGGAAATCGCTAGAGCTTATGTTGGTGAAAGAATGTTCTTCCCTCATAATGTTGATTTTAGAGGTAGAGCATATCCTATATCACCAAATTTTAATCATTTAGGTAATGATTTAACTAGATCTTTATTCTTATTCTGGGATGGTAAAGAATTAGGTAATGAAGGTTTAAGATGGTTAAAAATTCATTTAGCTAATTTATATGGTATTGATAAAGTTTCTTTAGATGATAGAGAAAAATTTGCTGAAGAGAATTTAAACCATATTTTCAAATCAGCAGAACATCCATTTGATGAAAATAGTTGGTGGATGAAGGGAGAAAAACCATGGCAAGTATTATCAGCATGTTTTGAATTAAATGAAGCATATAAATTATCTGATCCAACTAAATTCATTTCTCATTTACCTGTTCATCAAGATGGTTCATGTAATGGTTTACAACATTATGCTGCTTTAGGGGGTGATATTGAAGGGGCTCGTCAAGTTAATTTAGTTCCTGCTGATAGACCTCAAGATGTTTATTCTCATGTGGCTGCGAAAGTTCAAGAAAAAGTCGATGAAGAAGCTGCTGAAGGTAATAAATATGCTGTGTTCTTACAAGATAAAATCACTCGTAAAGTTGTGAAACAAACAGTTATGACCAATGTTTATGGTGTTACATTTGTTGGTGCTAGTGATCAAATTAAGAAACAAATCAAACATTATTTTTCTCCTGGTGATAAAGATGAATTAGCAAAACATTCCCTTTATTTAACAACTCACGTATTTAATGCTATCAGACAATTATTTGAAGGTGCTCATAAGATTCAAGATTGGTTAGGTGATGCAGCTAAAATCATTAGTAAATCTATTGCTGTAGATTTTGAAGAAGAAGCTACTAGTGGTGATGGAAATAATGGTTTAAACCATTTATCAACAGTAATTTGGTCTTCACCTGTAGGATTACCTTGTGTTCAACCTTACAGAGCTGTAAGGAAACAAAGTGTTGCTACTAATTTACAGAATGTTGTTATAACTGATCCTTTTAGTAATTCACCTATTGATGCTAGAAAACAAAAGACTGCTTTACCACCAAATTATGTTCATTCTTTAGATGCTTCTCATATGTTAATGACCGCTGCTAGTTGTAGAGAATTAGGAATTTCTTTTGCTTCAGTTCATGATTCTTATTGGACTCATGCTTCAGATATTGATTTATTGAATAAGAAATTAAGACAAGAATTTGTTAATTTACATAAAGAGAATTTGGTTTTGAAATTAAAAGAAGAATTTGAAGCTAGATATAAAGGTTTCTTACAAGTAATCAATTTATCAAGAGATCATGAATTATGTAAGAAGATTCAAGATGTAAGAAAGAAGATTTCCAAAGAATTAGGGAGAAATATTAGTTTTGCTGATGAAATCAGTTTAGAAAAAACTAGAAGAAGATTATTGAATTCAGATGATGCTGAAGAAAGACTTCAAGGAGAACAATTAGTAACTCCATTAAGTGTTACTGAAGATTATGATCCTTTAAGTTTACCACAAAAAGTAGGGGGATTACAGGTATTAGTTCCTATAGCATTCCCTGAAGTACCAAAAAGAGGAGATTTCGATGTTGAAGTTGTTAAAGATTCAACCTATTTCTTTTCTTAAGGGACTTGCAAAGTGGACACCTGCAAAGGGACACCTGAAAAGTGGACACCTGCAAAGTGGACACATAACCAATTGAACACATAAAATATGACAGATGGTACATAAAAATAGTAATAGATCATAAAGTGATAGATCATAGATCCACAAAAAAAGTAATAGATCATAAAGTAATAGATCATAAAGTAATAGATCAGAAAAAAGTAGAATAGATAACGATGACGACATATAGAAAAAAAAGGGTTCTTGTATATACGGATTGTCAAAAATAGACATTTAAATAATTTTCCCCTGTTGTTCAAAATTCTCTATCAATGGTAATAAAGGAGTTAATTCATTTCTATCAACCAAACTGAATTCCTTAATAAAACTTATGAAATGAGAAAAGAATGAATTCCAATGAGCTTCTAATGATAAATGAACAATTTTATCGAAATGATTATGATACATATGAGCAAAGATTCTAAACATTTGACGGGAAATATTCTTACAATCTTTCATAAAATTAGGTGGGAAAGCTCCACCACTTTTAGTTGGGAAAACTGATTGATCATTTAATTTATTAGATATCCAAGTTAAAACGTATTCGATATATTGACATGCAGGTAAATTAACTGTTTGACCATTAGAATCCACCCATAAATAATTTGTATTAGGACCAGCATTCATTGAAGGATAATTTTCTGGTGTTATATAATCGACGAAAACTCCATAAAATTGATTTAAATTATTGAATATTTCAAATACATTAAGAGCTATCCATTCACCGTAATCAACATATTTGGGTAATTGTACAATGGTTTTGAATGACCCTTTAACTAACGATGTTTTGACAAATGGTTCACACATAAATAACGGTAAATCATCATTAGTTGATTCTTCTGTAGTTGACATCACGGTATTTTTCGATGGCAGTAGATTTTTATTTATTGGTACTGATCCCCCGTTCCTATTTCTGTTCCTTACAGGCGATGATTGTCTATGATTTATACGTTGCTTTGTTGGTGACATCTTTGTAGGTGATTGTTGTCTTCTTAAAGAATTTCCTGAATGATTGGATTGTTGATAAAATGGACTGGCCATTTCATCTTTCTTGGTTTTTTTTGTCCCTCTTCCTAAACCTCTGATACTGTTCAAGAATGACATTTTATAAGGTAGCGATGTGGATGTTGCTTGATGTTTTTGTCGTTAAGTCGTTAAATTGTTTAAACCTTTGATTTATGTGTTTTTTTCGCAAGTTGAAAACTTTCGCTACTTCCTGTATGAGATTTTTACCTTAAAGGGGACGATCCGTTACGTAAGCGATTACGTAAGAATAGGAGAGAAAGGGCCATGATTGGGGAAGTAGAAGGGTAGAAGGGTAGGAGGAAAGAAGGGTAGAAGGGTAGGAGGGTAGGAGGGTAGAAGGGTAGAAGGGTGGAAGGGTAGGAGGGTAGGAGGGTAGGAGGGTAGGAGGGTAGGAGGGTAGGAGGGTAGGAGGGTAGAAGGGTAGGAGGGTAGAAGGGTAGAAGGGTGGATGTAGAAAAAGGTATTTATTAGAAGGTGGTTGGGACAAAACAACAATACCCAATTTGAAGGATCAAGTAAAACTACCCAATCTTTGTCCAACCTTAACTTTCTGTCCAACTTCTAAATCAAACTTGAAATTATCTGGAGCTTCAAAAACTAAAACAACAGTGGATCCTAATTTGAACCCACCAAATTGTTGACCTTTAGTTAATGGGAATCCTCCTAATAATCTACTAGCTTTAGTATAAGTAGCTTCATAGACAGTATTCTTTTTAGTACGTTTACGTTTATCTTCAAGTGAAAGCGATGATTCATCAGCTTCCAATAAAGGAGTGGTTTCATCAATTGACTTTTTCAGGTAAACTTCATGTTCGAAAGCATCATTTGTTTTCAAATCTTTATCGAAATCAACAACAATTGAACCAACATTAGTAGCACCAACAGGAATCATTGAGAAGAAACCATATTTCCAATATCCTAATAAAGCCACTCTTTCATTCAATACAAACAATCCTTGTAAAGTTTTTTGGAAGAAAGGAGCTACTGAAAAAAGTTCACCAATAAAATGACGTCTTAAAGTTGTAACCCAATTAGTTGGAGAATGGAATCTATGATAATCTCCTGGAGCCAAATAAATCACTGAAAAATATAATTGTTTCTTACCACTTAAACCAATTTTTTCCAAAGGTGTTGGAGTCAAATCTTTAGCAATTGATAATTCTTTAGAGATTGGAGGATTTGAACCTGAAATTACTCTATCACCTTCATCTTTATAATCTAAATCATTTAAATGATTAGCTTCATCTCCTCCACCAATCAAATCATCTACTGTATAAGTTATACCATTCAATTTAGCGAATTCTTGATCTCTTTGATAGATAGTTTCATCATCATCATGATTGAATTCTAAGGAATGAGAAGGAGCAGCTAATCTTTCGGTTTTGAAACCTAATAACGCATCAACTGAATAAGTCATCCCTTTAACTTGTTCGATTTCACCATCTTCAATGATACCAAATTTTAAAACTTTACCATCTGAAGGTGAAACTAAATCAAAATCATCAATTGGTCTAACTCCTGGTTTTAAAGTTCTATAGAAGAAATCAGATAAATTATTGAAAGTTCTTAAATCTTCTTCTTCCATTTCATCAAGATTAACACCAAATAAACTTGAATAGAGTCTATACGATGGTGATCTTAACCACACAGGTAAGTTAATTGAATTGACTTGTCCCCATAATCTGGAGATGGCTTTTAAAGGTAAAGTTGAGTAGATATATAATTTCCAAGATTCAGGTTTAATGGCATATTCATTATGAGGAATAAATTCATCATCATCATCATAATTACCATTTTTAGCTTTGATTTTACCTGCAACTCCTACTAACAAAACTGCCAATGAAGTTAAAGTCCACCATCTGATAAATCTTCTACGTTGTTTTCTTTCCTTACGAGCTTCAGCTGAAAAGAATCTTTGATGAATATTAGATGTTTGGTTCCTAATCTTTTGGTTAGCCGTTGAAAATGATCGTTTACTGATAATATTTGGTAATCTTAATCTTCTTTGAACGGAATTATTAGCATCACTAGGATTTCTTTTCCATGAAGTGTAGTACAAGACATTTCTTTTAGGTCTTGGAATTTTAGGGAATTGATAATAATAAGAAATGAAAGTTTTCCTTTTGGGTAAGGCGTTGGATAACTCTAATTCTGTAACATCAGAAGCTCGAGATAAAGGTTGAGCGATGTTCATTTTTTGAGGTCCTAAAATGAATGGAGCTGGCGTATACCTTAACTTTTGTTTCATCCCTGGAGTTGGGTTGAAAGAAGGAGGTCTAAAAGCCATAATGAATGTGAAAACAAAAAGTTTTTTGATCGTGTGCGGATGTTTAGTGGTCCCATCGGTACACCACATACGAGAAAAGGGGAATTGGTCTGGTGGGGGGAGAGCGATCATATTTCCCTAATATGGAATAAGATAGGACCCAGTGATGATAGATATTTGAGGGCGTAGAGACATAGAGAGTGGGGAGATGATTGGCGGGAACATGGAAGAACAGTGGCAGAGGACAGAACAGTGGCAGAGAAGACGAGGACAGAACAGTGGCAGGACAGAACAAAAATTATACATTACTGGTCAATTTCCAAATATTATGTTTCAACAGTTCAATGAAATCTAACGATAAATAATGCATTTCATCATTCAATAATCTCTCAGAATAGAAGAATATCAACTTCAAATTCCATAAATCATCGATAACTTCTGGATTATGAGATTTCTTCATCAACTCTAATTTACTATCAATAACATTAAATATCGATAACCCTAGATCTTTCAAGTTTGCATCACTAGTTTTATCACTAGATTCAAACAAGTACACTTTCTTTTCATGGTTGGTGATGTTTTTCATGAAATCAAGATTTAAAATCTTATTAACATCACTATCGATCTCGATCTCGTGATTATCGATTTGAAGCCCTTTGTTCTCGAGTTCAAGAAGTCTTCTAATGGAAGATTTGAAGATTTGATAGTTCCTTCTTTTATAAACGAATAATGCCAATGATTTCTGAAAGATTTTAAGGTAATGATCATTAGCTTCGAAATTGATATTGACTTTGAAATGATCTAAAGAATTGGTTTCGATATTGATGATATTATTCAAATTGGGTAAAAGACATGGTGTGACAATGTCTTTAACAACACCATTGGTAAGTTTTATGGACACAGGGATTTTGAGGGGTTTATGAGTTTCAACATCTCGAATGACTAAACATCTAGGTTCAACTGAAAGAGCCCAAAAGTGTCTTAATGCTTGTAAATGAACTTCATATTCACCGTTTTCATTAGGGAAAACTGGATACAATGATACTATCAATGTTGCAATAGCAAGATTCGATGATCCAAAGGCATATTGACCACCGCCTAAAAATAAGAATCCAAGTGCCATATTTATAGCCATATAATTCCCATAATTCCGTTCTTTATCAGTATCACCATAAAGTACTCTTAATCTTCGGAAAGTTTCTAAATCTCCTGAACCTGCCATTATTATGGAAAGACCTAAAGCCAAGATATTCTGGATATTTATGGCACTATGACATGCAACTCTTTCATCATAATTTGTGGTATTAGACATAGCTAAAACCATCATATTATCAAGATAATAGATTAATGTGTCTCTAGCCCTTTGATCATGAGTTGATGCATATTTAATTGCCATAGATAAACAAGTACCTCCTAAAATATTGAAAAATCCGATTTGATCACTATCTAACGTTTCAGTTTCTAATTTACCATACTTACTTAATAACGATTTGGGGATTTTAGATTCTACCCAAGAAATCGTGTTGCCTATTTGATTCCACATAATAATGTTGGATGAAATACATCTTAATAACAATAAATCTGGTCTTATATAATCAAGTAATTGTTCATTCTCAGGAATGGCCAATTTACTAGCAATGGAGGAATCTTCAGTTTTCATATGAACAAATCCAAGAGCTATGATAGCACCACTACATGATTTATCTAATTCCAGGATTGGTTGATAATCTTTCATTGATGTAGCCAAAGCTAATAATCTATCTACCACTCTTGTATCATTTAAACCTTTCAAATCTCTTCCTTTACCTAAATTTACAAACCCCAAAGAGATCCCAGCAGCTAATCTATAACCTTCATTGATTTGTTCAGAATCATTTTGTGATACTGTGCTAGTGATTTGAGCTAATAAGATTTCACTCATTCTTCTATGTTGAGTTTCTAAGTAAAGTAATCCAATTCCAAGCAATCCAGCTGCTTGGACAATTATAGGAACATTTAAATCATTTGCTCCTTGTGGTAATAATGCTACTGCATGAACAGATAAAACTTTAGTGAGTTTTACATCCATAGTCCCCAAATTACTGGCTGCCATTCCTAATAAAAGTCCCACACTTGTAAGAGGATGTTTGGGTCCTAAATAATTATAAATATGCCATTCTTCAAGACTTTTAAGATGTCCGTTAAGTCCCAAACCTAAAAGGAAACCTCCATGTTGGGAATTCAAAGATGGTGGTTTATTGAAAATGATCCAACTCCCTGAAATCCCCTTTGATTCTTTACTGATACTAAGACCTGAAGCTACACCATTATGGAAATACCCCCATTCGACAGTTCTTTCTTCAACAGATCCTTCAGATAATACGATATTGGTCATTTTAGGAGCTATAATGGTATTTAAGTTGAATTTAGGGATAGGGAATTTCTCTGTTAATAATGGCATTCTTCCAGCATAAAATAATGAAGCTCTTCCTAAAGGTATGGATAAAGTTCTAAGAGCCACCGTGGCAGCCAATTCTCTCTGTAACACTACAATATCATATTCGGTAGTTCCTTCTTCTACAATCAAGGTAGCAGTTTGAGTCTTTGTTTGATGTAAAAGAGATGTGATCTCATAATATCTTCTATCATAATCAAAAATTAATTTGGTAATACCAAGTCTATCGGCTTCAGATTGGTCATCCCAGGCAACTACCTGTTCCGTGCCTCCCAAGACACTGGCCAAAACATGGTTAATATCTTTGGATATGGTGAAATTATGGCTAGGGTTGGAATAAAGTGATGTTGGAGGTTGATAGGACTCGGATTTCAAAAACATATCCAAATCTTTTCTATCAACAAGATCAAGAGAGTTCAACGTCCAATCAAAATCGGGTTTCTCTTGACATATAGAAATGGCTTCTTTTAAAGGAATTTGAACACCTATAGGGAAAGTTTCCAAATCTTCTATACTGATACCTAATTCTGCCATTAAGTCAACAATATCCGTGGAACCATAATTGGGAGATACAATGATTTCGAATAATTTCAATATGGCATGAGTTCTGGGGATAATAAGTTCATCAGTGGTATTACTTTCTTCCACCAATTGAGAAAATGGTAAGTAACTTATTATGGAATCACTGAATAAACTTGTTAACGATTGAAGAACATTTGGAGGTTGAGGAATTACAAAAACCAGTAACAATCTAGTTTCTCGATCAAATTGATTCAAATCCAATGCATAATATTTATACCAAGATTCAGGCCATCCCATCCAAATACATGCTTGAGTTAAAAACATGGCGAATTTATGGAGATTTCCATGGAAAAGAATATTTAATTTTGTCTCTTCACGTATAAGGTGTAATGATACGATAATATAAGGGAGCATATCTCTGAATGAATAATTATTAGATAATTGTTGATTCAATAATTTAGCTGAAGGTATGAGTTGAGTAATCTCATTGATCAGGTAGTCTTGTAATTCACTCTCCATAGGTAACATTATAGCCAATAAGGTTATTATCAAGGCATTCCATTCATCTCTGGATTTATCTAACATTAGGGCCGACCTCCATAACATCCATATAGTTTCATTTATACTGGAACCAGATAAGTATTTGAAACATTGTAAGCATGTGGTTATTATATCAGAACTTGGTTGAAGAATCAAATTTATGATATAAGATTTCCCATTCTTACCTCTAACAGCCACATTCTCATCATTACAACTTTCAATGTATGAAATTTCCGGATATTTGGCCATAGAAAGATCTATGGATGCAGAACTGACATCAACAAAAGGATTTATGAGTTGAAGAAATTTCCCATCTTTTAAAATCACCAATAATCCTTCGAATTGGGGGTTCAATAATGGTGAACAATGTTGACATCGTATGGAATAAGTATGTTGATATTGTGGAATCAGGGTGATCAGTTGACTGAAAATATATACCTTGGCTTCACCCTTTTGACGATTCATGATGACAATGGCTTCTTGCTCTCTATAGAATAAATTATAAATATCCAAATGATGTTTATCAATTTGAACATTAAGAACTTCTACTTTGGTTAAAATCATATCCTTTTTCAAACCATTGAGTTCCATAGGTTTATTCAAATCTGAAATCGTAGCATCTGAACCCATTCTTGCCATTGAAGATGCATCTGAAAGTAGTGTACTGGTACGTTTTTTATCCATATTTAAAGAAGCAGAATTTAACCCGTTCCCGCTAGGTATAGTACCATCAATATGGAGATTATCATCTTCAATGATTCTGGTTGGATTGGGGGTTGTCAAAAACGTATTCTTTCGTTTGGAAAATTTATAAGAATGCATTTTCTTAGGATTTCTACTAGAACTTTTAATATGATAAAGCACTATAGTGCTTTCCTTAGAATTGAAAGTAGCACACAAAGATAAGTTCTTATTCAAAGCTTTATGAGGGAAACACATCAATTGTTCATGGGGGGAAATAATTGATGTTGAAGATGAGGTAATGATTCTAAAATCTCCAATTGGATCCACAAATGAAAGAAACTTAGCAGAGTTCAATTGTTGAGGATGAACATTATCCAATGACATGGTGGTAATATGGGACTGGTCTTTCTCTAAGATTAAACCTGACTCGAAACTGAGGGCAGATTTCAAAGTAAAGGGAAAACTGACGAAATTCTCTTTACCGTTGGCATAAATGAAAGCTGATTTGGATAAGCAAATAACGAGGGATTCTTCATTGGTGGGGGTGTCATTATCATTGAAAGAAGTGAAAGTGGCAGCAATGACTTCTTCATCAAAAGTGAATTTCTTAGTTAAGGTTGAACCTTTTATCAATATGACAGTTTTGGGAAACACAATTAATTGTTTGTGGTTGGAGAATAACTCAACTCTGCCTGCCATTGAATGGTAAGGATGCTTGATATCATGTCGTAAGTCAAGTGCCGGTAACACTAGACGAAATTCATCCTGAGTTGAAGGCATAACACAAAGTGTCTGATCTGAGAAACGCGATTCTGAGAGATGGGAACTGATGGTAGTAGACGGCCGATGTTATATTTGTGGGAACAAGTTAAGATACTGGGAGATGATAGATATGATTTAGGGGTACCTACTGGAGAAATTTGGGGACGAAAGCATGGAAATTGAGAGGAAATCAGTTTATTTTCTTTAATTTTGACTGTAGAAAGTCATAAAAAAGACATACATATAACCACCATCTCTAGTAACCATACAGTATAATCAAATCACCGATTAAACCCAACCAATCACCCAAAAACATCCCTCAAACCCCATCATGAATACCTTTCTTGATGAGATGCGAAAAATCATTTCTCATCATGACTGAACCACAATCTGAATGGGATAAAAGAAGGTACATACCTAAACCTGGTGAACCAGACTTACCTCCACAACTTACAGAATATGCAGATAAATCTTCCACCGATATAATGAAAGACTTGAACAGATTACCTTTCTTCATGACAGAGCTTGATGAAACAGATGGAGAAGGTGGAGAGAATTCTAATTTAGAAGCTCTTAGAAGTCTTGCTTATGAAGGAGAACCTCATGAAATCGCAGGTAATTTCAAAAATCAAGGAAATGATCATTTCAAAGGTAAAAACTATAAAACTGCCGTGGAATTCTATACTAAAGGGTTAGATGTAGAATGTGATGATGATTCAATCAATTTAGCATTATATTTAAATAGAGCTGCTTGTAATTTAGAACTCAAGAATTACAGAAGATGTATTGAAGATTGTAAGAAAGCTCTTGTGATAGATCCCAAGAGTGTTAAAGCATGTTATAGATCAGGTAAGGCATTCTATTTAGTTAATAGACTTGATGAAGCTAAACAAATCTTGGATTATGGATTATCTATTGATGGTGATAACAAACCTATACAAGAAACTTTACAAAAAGTTACACAAAAACAAGCTCAAGTTCAATTAGCTTTGGAAAGAAAGGAAAGAGAACAAAAAGAGAAAGAATTGAAAAATACCATTCTTGTTAATGCTATAAAATTAAGACATTTCCTTATATTAAAATCTAAAACTCCAACAGAGTTATTAGAAGAAGCTAAAATTAGACTTGAAAATGATGTAGATTATGAATCTCAACTTATCTTCCCAGCTATGATCTTATATCCAACGACTGACGAATTTGATTACTTACAAGAGGTAGGAGAATTGACCACACCTAATGAGATCTTGAACACTGTAATGCAAAGACCACAATCATTCTTTGAAGATCCTAAGCATAAGAATTTTGCCATACCCAACTTACAATGTTTCTTAGAAACTGAGGCTGGTGGATTGGTGAAAGTGGGAAAGAATGTTGCCATCAATGAAGTATTGATGAAAGATAGTCCTAAAACTCCTTTATTCGATAACGCTTTAAGATTATACGTGGTACCAAAACAAGAGTCAGCAGAATGGATTTCCAAATGGAATAAGGAAGCTGTTTTGGCTAAAAGATTATTATAGAAACCCTTATATATATATAGTACATTTATTTACATTAAATTTTTTTCCTTTGAGGTGAAGGACCTCCCCTTATTCTTGAAGCTTCTGATTCAAAAATATCTTCAATTCGAAACTTGGGCACTTCACCAAATATTGATTTGGGATCCACATCTTTGTTACGTAAAACCAATCTTTGTAATTCAGGAGACTCTGCCCATGATTTGAGAACATTCTTTGGTCCATCTTCATCTTCAGTTTCAATATCAGGTAAAGTAAACTCTTCATCTTTATGAAGTTCAAATGTTGAACTTTTGATAGGAGTTTTGGTTTTCACTTTATAACTAAGTCTTTCTGGCTCTTCTCTTGGTTTAACATGTTGAGGTCTTGCTGCATCAGGCAAAGCTATAGCATTACCCCCTAAGTTTCTTCGTTTATATTCAGAATGTGATGGTTCTGGTTCAGGAAGTTTATGTTTGGTGATATTATGCATGCTTAATTTTGGTACAGTTTCATTTGGTTTAGTTAATGAACGTTTGGCATGATTCATTGAAACCACAACTCGTGGTTTAGCTTCTTGTTTCATCAATGATTTTTTCTTCAAAGGAGGAATTGACGTTGGTTCAAGTGAAATTTTCATTTTATCTTTTGTGAGTTTGATTTTATTTGGACTACGATTTTGTCTTGTAGGAACTGTTGGATTCAAAGTGGTGGTTAAAAATTTGTTTTTGGTGGGACGAAGTTCTTCTTTGGGTTTTAGCTCTTGACGGGCAACAGGAGTAGTTACTGGTACTGTAGGTTTTTCCAAAGAAAATGAATCAATTTCGTCCACCCGTATTGAAGCTATTGAACTATTCTTGGACATTTTTCTTCCATATCTAGTAGGAGACCTTGATTCTCTTAAAGTATCAGTGGAAAATGCCGAATTAGTAGATTCTCTAAATCTAGGAGTTAATCCATTATGAACCAATGATTTGTTTGGAGTCTTACTAGGAGTCTTACTAGGAGTTTTACTGGGCCTTGTCAAAGACTTGTCATTAACAGACGCAAATAATTCCCTTGAAGGTGAAAATAATCTTCTTTCAGAATCAACATTTCCTGTACTATCATGTTTAATCACCAAACTAGGGGCTAAGGGAGATATGGATTTAATCAAAGATTTTCTACGATCCAGCGTAGGACTTTGGAGTTTTTGCATGAAAGGTGTTGGGTTAGGTGTTGGATTAGGTGTTGAGTCTTTCCCATCAGATGACATATCTACAAATGATGGGAATCTATTTCTTCGAATAGGTGAATTAGAATAGAAATTTTCTGTTTTTGGCTTGGGTTTGTCTTTAACAAACGATTTCCTACTTAATGATGACGTAACTGTTAATGGCTCTCTAGCTGGTAATGATACAAAAGTAGATGATCTTTTAGGTGTTTTTGTAGGTAAAGGTTCTTTTTTAACAGTTGCATCCTTAGGTAAGGTATCTGTGGTTCTTCTAACGTTTGAATCCTTATTTAAGTTATCTGTGGTTCTTCTGACGGACATTTGAATCTTTTGTAAGGAAATATCATATTCTAAAACCTTTTCTGACAGTTGGAATTGCACTTTAGGACTACTTGGAAGAATTTCTTCAAATTTGATGGGGTTTGAAGGTTTTAATGGACTTTGACGTCGAAATTCTCTTTTTAATGGACTAAGTTTCCTCGGTATGGTGGGAGATCTCGTATAAGACACTGGTGATCTGGAAAATTTCACCGGAGATTGGGGTTTTAAAAATTCTTTCATCATTTTCATATCTTCTTCTCCCAAACCTTGGTCTAGAGCACTCATAAACTCCTTTAATTGGGTTCTACCTTTATCTAAAGTTCCTAGAATGTCATTGGCTTTCTTTATGATGCTTGAATTGTGATCTTTTAATTCTGCTGCTATCCAACAAGCTGTACCAGGAACAGCGGTATTCTGACCAATGGATCGATTATACCACGGTCCCGAACTCATGGCTAGGTGAATTAATCTATGATGGACTTAAATACTCCTTAGAAGTGACAATGATGGAATATCAAGGATAGTCAAATGTAAGTGAAGATCACAAAGCGAGATGTTTTCAAAAGTGCGCATCCAAACCAAGGTGGAAATCCTTATCGTATAAAGAACTTTCCCAAATCACCACTACCTGACCACCCACTTTAATCACTACAAGGGGTCAAAGGTGTTAGTTGGTAATACTGAAAAGTTGTGGGATCCTACCAGTGGTAAAAAAGTTTTGGTAAAGAAACCTAATATGGAAAAGAAATCCGCTAAAGCTCGCCTCAGTTCACCTGATGGGATGAATAAGTTCGGATTAAACCTTAGACTGTCAGATGTAGGGGTTCGTTCATTGACTGGAGATGAACTAAGACCAATGGTATCTCCTAGTTATGAAGAAGTGCCTATTTGGAACATTTTACCATCATATCAATTGTATGAGTCAACATTTTCCAAAAATATTACTCCTACAGATGAAGATATGATGTATAATCCACCAACTTATGAAGCTAGTTCACCTGCTAGCTCTCCTGGGATTGTATCAGGAGCAGTAGGGACAGATCCAACAATGAATTATTTCAATAGTCAATCAGTAAGAGTTCCTACAAATACTCAGGATTTACCTAATAGGTGGGAAAATAGTATTTTGGCTCATACTCATCAAATGAAACGTTTAACTGATATTAAACCTGGATTGGATTCTAATTTGAAGATCGAGATTGTTGTTACTGAAGGTCCATGTTCAAAAGGAATTCCTTCCAAACCGGTAGATATTCTGAGACAAGAATACCATCAAGGTGCAGATATCAATGGTTATGTATTATTAGAGAATATTTCTAAAGAGAAAATCAATTTTGATATGTTCTCTGTGGTGTTTGAAGGGAAAGTCTCGGTAATGGGGGATGCTAATGATCCCAAAAAACCCAGTGTTTTCTTTAAATTCTTGAATATGTTTGATTATGATGCTTCTTGGTCTCCAGTACAACTTGATCAAACAGCTGAAACCGATAGTGATGGAACGGTTTTAAAATTCCCCTTGGAAAAGTATTTTGAACCTCATGTAGTCTACAAGAAATTCTTTAGTTTTAAGTTACCCGATAGATTATTAGATTGTGCGTGTGAAGCTCATAGTTTAACTCGTCATTGTGAATTACTTCCTTCCATTGGGTTAGCTAGAGATCAGTTCATGCAACTGATTAGGAAATTACGTCAACGAGGTAGACAAACTGGTTCGGCAGAATTTTCCTTAACTCCTACCAAATCAAATACTCCCAAGAAGAAACCCATTCCTCCTATTGTTAATGAAAGAATCAAAGACTTATCATTCCCAGATACAGCCATTAGTTATAGTATTGAAACTAGAGTGGTGGCCAAGGCTAGTAATTATCGAAAGAAATTACCTCCCATGGAAGGAGCTGATGAATTCATTATTCTTGAGGATTGTAGTGGGTTTGTAAGAATCATACCTGGAAACAGGTCCAATGAAGTTGATTTAGAAAATCTTGAAACCGAAGCTAGATTGATGTATAGGAATCTTGTTGATAGAATTACTGAGAAGATCGCTTTAGGTAATGATTTGATTAATAATACCGATAATGGAGTGTCTGCATTGACCAGGAATCTTTCTATCACCAAGAGAAGACAATTATATACATCTTCAAGTTCTAAAGGTATGAAATCAATAAGTCCTTTGAAAAATGGTGAAACATATTCTATCTCATTACCTTTGAAAAGGAAACAAACCATCACTTCAGCTGCTAAATTATCAGGTTTATTGGAAATTTCAACTCCTAAAATGAATCACAAAATCAAATATGTCCCACCTTTCAATTTCGTAAGTCAATCCCATTCAAACTTATCCACTAAACTTTCATTCCCAGTGGATTTGAATTTCATCCCTTCAGGTGATGCCAAAACCGATAAAGCTCCTGAAATCAAAACCGTATGTTGTGAAATCGTTGTATTTACTTATAGGTCGAAGAAATATCCTGTTCCGATTGAAATTGACCCCGAATTAGTATACAAAAATGTCGCCAGTCAAACTGATAATTTCGAACATAATGTCTCCCAACCTTTCAAAAAGTATCTCAACGACATAACCAACCTTACTAAGAAATTAGGGGCGGAATTATTAGGTGTAGATGCCCGATTATCTATGGATATCAAAGCACTCGCCGATTTATCATGTAAATATCATAATCTTAAAGTTGATGATGTTCAAATAAGATCCGACAAAGGTCTTAGTAATTGGAAATGTGAATTGGGATCTCCTGCTAATAACGGTAAAGGTCAATACCTGAAAACCATCAACGTTTCCATGGATCTTCATCATAGTCTTTCAAAAGAAATCAATGGATCAAATGAAGAAATCCATAAGGGATACCTTACTTTAGTACCCAGTTTCCAAAGTTGTGTTATAGGACGTATTTATTTCCTCCAAGTAACTATCAAGTTCCAGAACCATGAATCTGCTAGCATTAAAATCCCTTTCAAAATCCAATTGTAAACGGATTTTACTAAAAGTTCTACCCAACATTTATGTTGCTAGTCATTAAACATATGTTGCTAGTCATCAAACATTTTATGTTACTAGTCATTTCATGTTACACAAAAAAAAAATCAAAAGTCGTGTATAACGCCAATAATGTATATCTCCCCAACTTTCGCGAGCCATCATCGATAAGCGTTATCGATAGAACTGACGTAAAGATGACAAGTAAACTGGAAATATTTGAATTTTCACCCAGTATTTGTGAAAAGTATGAAGGTGCATCAACTGCAAACTTCATTCTTGCGGTAATTATCACCATTGGAATTGTCATTAGTTATTTACCTCAATATAAAAGAATTAATGATAAAAGAACTTCTGAAGGATTATCAACTCAATTCCTTTTATTAGGATCATGTTCTTCAATATTCACATCCACAAATATCATATTAGTTAGTTCAAATGCTCGAAATTGTTGTAGAGGGGGGTATATCAGTGCTTTCAACTGTTTAAATTCTCAAATGAACCTTATTCAAATAGGTTTACAATCAGTTTGTGCTATTATGATCTTAGTATTGGTATTAGCATTGACAAGAGATTCAATCAAACAAGATAAGGAGGAATATGCACGGAATTTAAAAGTTGGAAAGATAGTCATTGCTCACGCTATAATATCTATTATAGAGATCATGATAGCTTTCCTTAGTGGGAATGAGTCATTATTATTAGTGATTGCCAATTTTAATGGATTAATGTCAACTTTATTGACGTTCATTAAATATGTACCACAAATTTGGACAACCTATAGTTTAAAACATCCAGGTACTTTATCTATTGGAATGATGTGTATTCAAACTCCAGGTGGGGCCATTTTCACTGCCACTTTATTCTTTGCTAAAGGTTCTCATTGGAGTTCTTGGATATCTTATTTCTTTGCCTTTATTTTACAAGGTACTTTACTTTCAATGTGTATTTATTATGAATACTTGAAACATGGAGGTTTTGATGCTGAAGCTCTTGAAAGAATACAAGTGGAAAGAATTATTGAACAAAATATGCATGATCAAGAGGAAACCAATGATTCCAGTCCTCTTTTACAAGGATCTTGAAAAAAAAAACTGCTTTTAACTAAATCAAAAAATATATATCAATTTCTTACGTAAGCATGCGACAACTGTTTGAGGGTCGCCAAAAAAATCGGTTGAGAATTTTTGAAAATTTTTCACTGACAATATGTTTAGAAACGCTACCGTTACTTTACGTACCAATGTTAATGCTGTATTAAGACTCCGTCCTTCATTGACTAGAGCTTATGCTGCTTTTGATCGTTCCAAACCTCATGTTAATGTTGGTACTATTGGTCATGTTGATCATGGTAAGACCACTTTAACTGCTGCTATCACTAAAGTGTTATCAGAAAAAGGTGGTGCTAATTTCTTAGATTATGGATCAATCGATAGAGCTCCTGAAGAAAGAGCCAGAGGTATTACCATTTCTACTGCCCATGTTGAATATTCTACTGATAAAAGACATTATGCTCATGTTGATTGTCCAGGGCACGCTGATTACATTAAGAATATGATTACTGGTGCTGCTCAAATGGATGGTGCTATTATTGTTGTTGCTGCTTCTGATGGTCAAATGCCTCAAACCAGAGAACATTTATTATTAGCTAGACAAGTTGGTGTTCAACATTTAGTTGTTTTCGTTAACAAAGTTGATACTGTTGATGACCCAGAAATGTTAGAATTAGTTGAAATGGAAATGAGAGAATTATTATCCCAATACGGTTTTGATGGTGATAACACTCCAGTTATTATGGGTTCAGCTTTATGTGCTTTACAAAATGAAAGACCAGAAATTGGTAGTGAAGCTATTATGAAATTATTAGATGCTGTTGATGAACATATTCCAACTCCAGTTCGTGATTTAGAACAACCATTTTTAATGCCTGTTGAAGATGTTTTCTCTATTTCTGGTAGAGGTACTGTTGTTACTGGTAGAGTTGAAAGAGGTAGTTTAAAGAAAGGTGAAGAAATTGAAATTGTTGGTAATTTCGATAAACCTTATAAAGCTACTGTTACTGGTATTGAAATGTTCAAAAAAGAATTAGATGCTGCTATGGCTGGTGATAATGCTGGTATTTTATTAAGAGGGGTTAAAAGAGATGAAGTTTCAAGAGGTATGGTTTTATCTAAACCAGCTACTGTTACTTCTCATCAAAAATTCTTAGCTTCTTTATATATTTTATCAAAAGAAGAAGGTGGTAGACATTCACCATTTGCTGAAAATTATAAACCTCAATTATTCATTAGAACCAGTGATGTTACTGGTACTTTGAAATTCCCAAGTGAAGAAGGTGTTGATCATTCAGCTATGGTTCAACCTGGTGATAATGTTGAAATGGAAATTGAATTAGTTAAAAAGACTCCAATTGAATTGAATCAAAGATTTAACCTTAGAGAAGGTGGTAAGACTGTTGGTACTGGTATGGTCACTAAGATCATCGAATAGACGGTTTGCTTGTAAATAGATAATCGATGTTTGTATTTATATAAGGTTGAAATATACCTATCTATATGGGTGTTGAACTCTTAATGGTACTTTGATGGCAGTACCATTGAATTCTATAACGAGATGATATAATCTACACATGTAACAATTTTGGAAATCAGGAAGAAGCACGAAATCTTGGGATGATTCTTTGTAAGTATTGGCTATGTTTAAGGATAAGATGAAGTTTTTGGTAAAGATCATTCCATCAGTTCCTGATTTTTCGGTATCGATTTTCCAATCAATATCGTTGATGGTTGTAGGTTTGTTATGTGAGGTCCGGTGTGTGGCCGAGCCTGTGGTCAGGTCTGTGACGGTTTCCGTAACCACATCTTGGCCTGCACCCTCTACAATCGTATCCCTAACCTGTAGGTATTTGTAAATCACCTTTAAACTCGATAACGTCCTGACGTCACTGAGTAAAGTTTTCTCTTCACTAGTAAGCTGCTTATTCCTTAATATCTTCGACAATTGTTTCCTGTAATCGTGGAATCTTCGAATGGTTAAGTATGAAAAGTTATCGTTCTCCTTACCATTATTTTCAAACATCATGTCAGGATAGAATACTGCAGGAATAGGGTACTGAGATTTGATGGTGGATGCAACCAATGTCACTGAAGTGTTGAATTTCAATGTCAGAAGGTCCATATCCTTGGTCATATAAGATATTTGAAAAGGGATCCGGACTTCTGATTCAGCCACGGGTTTTAGATCTTTGACCAGATGATGCAATTGCGGAAATACCTGATATGTGGTTTTAGGTGTGGAAATGGTGATCAACCCCTTTAAACTGGTTTTCAATACATTCTTCTTAACCTTATGACTGGTGAATACCTGATAAGTATCTTGTCTTGGAGTTTCAACCGTTTCGAAATAGGAATTTTTGAGTTTGTTTAATTCCGATACTTCAGATTTCACTACTTCGAGATCAGGCTGATGCATGGCAGTATATGTATGAATTATTTGTTCAATCTTATTGATTCGATTGATATGATTAAGCATGGCTTCTTCTTCAATCATTTTCCGATTTACAACAAATAACGGATGATCATGAGGAAGTACCTTGATGAATTGTTGCATTTGATTGGCTATGACCAACTCATTTTCATGTTTGGCATCAGGATCATAAAACTTATAATCTTTGGATTTACCTAGGATCCGAGCACTTATGCTATAACTGACGGTAGAATTGACGAATCCTAGATCAGTAGGTTTGACCAATCTTTCTAATGTGATTTTTTCTCCAAAAAGTTTAGCTCTTCTACCATCACTGATAATTTCATTACGACACTTGCCGATACTTGAAGGTATTTGGAGATGTTTGATGGAATTATGAGTTTGACATGAATAATCCAAAAGTTTCTCTGGTAATTTGAACGCAAAGAATTTCTTATAAGTGATACCTGGAAGAAGAACCTTATTTCGATTGAGTTGGATACATGTTCCATCCACAGGATCAATATCATGTTTCAAAGGTTCATGGGGATTATTGTTGTCTTCTGGAAACCTATCCAAAGTACCATCAGACCATGATGCGTTAAAATCAAACATTGTTAAGATTTTTTTGATTGATGGAGGAGTATCGGGTTGACCAGCTTCTAGAGTGATATCCCCTTCAAATGAAACACAAAACATTTCAAAAGGTAAATTGAAAGTATTTTCGTTTTTAACGGTAACGAATCCATAAACATAATCATTTTGTTGAAGTTTTATGGTTGAAGGATCGATAATTTTCGGTTGAACTCCAAGCTGTCCCACATCCTCGGTGAGTTGGATCCTAATCTTGATGTTTTTGGCGATAGGACTACCATACTTCGTTAAATCTTTGATTTTATCGGTGTTGGCAAGAATAGTATCTTCCCATTGGACATATTCGGTGGTTGGATCAGCCAATACTGAACTGCCACCACTAACACTCTGATTACTGGAGTTGGTACCACTTTGTACGATATCAAAATATCCACTTATATGTTCTTGAGATGATAAATCCGAAGGTGATGTTATACTAACCGTGGGGGAAAATAGATAATCTGGAGGTTCAATATCAGTACTTACACCATTTTCAGCTATTAAAGATCGGGAAATTGTCGATTGAAACATTTGATATGATGGTAATATACTTACTATACGTTCATTCACCGAAGATGTCTCATCATAGGGACTAATCCATTCTTTATTGTGCTTCATATCATTGTGCATTTAAAACGATGTGCGCAGAGATGAGCGAGACATAATTAACGCACCTTATGAGTAAACCGTCGTGTGCGGCGTTACCTTATTAGGGGATTATGTCTAGAATTGATATATATATATATTTTACCTTTCAACGTTGAAAGGAATTTTAACTACGAGACTATCACTTTTAGCTAGCTTAACAGTTACTTTGATATAATAAAGTCTAACAGAAAAACAGGTTTGATTATCAGGAACCAACGTTACATAATCAAAGAAATCTCCATGTTTAGGTATATTATAACTTTTTGAACTACATTTATGAAGATCGAGGTTCAATTTGAAATCAGTTTGATATGCTTGATTGTTAATTGAGTTCCAGGTGATGTCACTTACATTACTTAATTTGTCATTAATCATTAATTTGGGATCATTAATTTCGAAAATGGAGAATTTCCCTGATAATAAAGCAAGTGCTTTAAGGTCATCATAAAGACGTCTGTCAACACGGATATTTTCACCACCAACTTTATCTATTAATTTGTTTAAAGTTTTTAAATCCTGTTTACGTGGATTAACTACTCTTTCATTGAAAATCTCAGCTTCATTTTTAGACATGATTTCTAATTCATCATCATTGATGAAAAATTCATGACAGAATTCAACTGGTAAAGGATGACCACTTGATCTGAAAGTTCCTACGATTAATTCAGCCTTAATTGACTTGATATCAAGAGAACTGGAGGAATTTTCATGATGAATTAATTGTAAAGGAATGGAAAGTTCTGGAATTCGAATAGGTTGATCCCTAAATCTTATTGGAGGAACATATTTGATGGAATAATGTTTCTTTGGTGTACAAAGAGAAATGAAACTTGTGGTTTTTGTGGATAAGATCCCCTTTTTCTTGAATGGAATGGTATTTTGGTAAACATCATCGAATTCTTTAACTATGGGAGTTTTCAAATCTGATGATGACCGAAATAATTGTTTGATTTTAGAATCTGAAGAATTCATAGGTGTAAGACTCAAATCACTTAATGAACTGGTAGTGCTTTGTAAAGCTTTACCTAAATCTATCTTATCTTTGATTGAAGAAACGAACCCTTTATAATATCTCATGATCTCCCTTGGTTCTTCATTATAGTAATAATTGGGTAAAGGTATCACTCTTACAGGTTTGATACACTCATTGGCTATGACATATTGATTCTTTTTATCTTGAAGGTTATAATCATGGGCCTTACCTATGACTCTACATTCAACACTATAATTGATACAAGTATCGAGAAATGATAAATCATTGACGGTCTTAGACTTCTCTGCTAATAATGATGAAGGTCTGACGCTATATTTAGGGAACCCCATACTGGGAGGTAAAATAGTATGGCCATTCAAATTATGTAAATCACAAATATCATCCAATAATTTATCAGGGACTCTGAAGGAAAAGAATCTTTTGTACTTAAGCCCTGGCAACAATTTTTTATCCAAGTCCAATGATAATAACGTATTATCGTAAGGATCGGTATCACCTTCACACCAATCTCTGGGATCTCCATTATCAGTGGTAAGTCTATTAATATTAGCAAATGACCAAGATGCAAATAAATCCGTCATATTCAAGAATTTATGAACAACTTTCGGTTTCTGTGTATCAATTAAGCCATCATTATTCTCCAAGACTATCTGAGTACCTTCAAATACCACATAAATCATATCAAAACTAAGGGGTTCTTGAGATACGTTCTCTATAGTTACAAACCCATGAATATAATCTCCTTGTTTGAACTCTTTATTGGAAGTATCAATGATATCTGGCGGTATACCCTTCTGACAAACGTTTCTGGTGATGGTTATATCAACTTTCAATTGTTTTGATATCTTATTATCTGATTTGGATAGATTCTGTAATTTATGGATATTGGCCAAAATAGTATTTTCCCAGATCTCTATTTGTTCTTGTTGATCTGACCCTTGATTTATGATGGGGAAGGGGAATTCGGTTGGATCTTCAGTTGGTGAAGGGGAAAATGGTGATTGAATGGCTGATAATGAGTTAGTACTGGAAACATTAGTCAATTCATACATCGGTGGAGCTCGGGAAAAATCTTCACCTGGAGTGGATAAGGTTTTCAGGATAGTTGATTGAAACATCTGGTATGAAGGTAGTATATTGGTGATCAATTCATCTTCTTGTAGACTTAAATCATTCTTATTCTTTTGCATTGGGATGAGAAGATGAGATTCTCGTAAATTTCCCTAATGCGCTTTTCGCGGTGGGACGAGAAATGAGATGAGTCAGGCTAGAAACGGTACCGATGGATGGAGAATACTGCGACGGATTTTGGGCGCCACGGAAGTGTCAAAATTGTTCGTACAAATGTCGCCATGTCGTCAGTACCTATAGGTGTAGAAAGTCCTATTCAAATTGATTTATCTTGATGTTTGATAGTTAAAAGAGTATGAAGTACTTTCTATAACCTTAGTATATTGCTTAAATATCTGAAAATTCCCGAAATCCCCCAATTCTGCTATGGCCCTCTTATCTCCTCAGTATCTAACCCAGCGACACGGCCGCACTTAAAATACTGATAACAATTGTAATCAAGCAATGAAAGAAAAGTCCAGTAATGTTCCTATAAGAACCTTAGGTGTCCGTACGGGTAGCTATATAGCAATAATTGTGTTTGTGGTGTATTCATGTTTACAAATATGGTATCAAAATGCTAATTATATGACCAATAAAGAGGTTTATCAGATGAGAATGTCTGATAGCCATTCAGTTGCAATCGATAGAAAACCTACATTACACCCTGAAGCTAAGCATCTTCATGTGGGTAAGAAAGCTATGGTTAGTAGTGACGTACCTGTATGTTCGAAATTGGGAAAAGAGATCTTATTGAAAGGAGGTAATGCTGCCGATGCTGCGGTTACTGTGGCCCTTTGTATTGGAAGTGTTAACTCTGCATCTTCAGGAATTGGTGGTGGAGGATTCATATTAAGTTCTTTAGACGGTAAGGATACTATTAGTATTGATGCTCGAGAAATGGCACCAGGGAAGTCATTCACAGAAATGTATGAAGATAATCCAATTTTAGCCACTATTGGAGGATTAGCTAATGGAATTCCTGGAGAATTGAAAGGTTTAGATACTTTATATAAACTTCATGGATCTGGGAATTTAACTTGGGCACAATTAATCGAACCAGTGATTAAATTGAACCGTGAAGGATTTGAAGTTGGATTGGTAGTTCAAGCAACCATTGATGTTTTATTAGAAAGATATTTACCATTATTTCCTTCAGTATTGAAAAATTGGGATTTTATTTATAATGAAGATGGAAGTTCGAAGAAAATCGGAGATATCATCAAAAGACCAAATTTGGCCAATACTTTAGAAATGATAGCTAACAATGGATCAAGTGATATCTTTTATGATCCTCAAGGTCCTATCGTTAAATCATTAATTAAAGTCAATAACCTTCATGGTGGGATGTTTGTTAGTGATGATTTTGCTCGATATGAAGCCATTGTAGAGAAACCTTTAAGTTTGAAAATTAATGAAGATATTGAAGTATTCACCGCTAATGGTATTAGTTCAGGATTAGTATTATTAGGAGGATTGAATCTTTTCCCTAAATTGTTCTCTAAAGGTGATAATAAACCCACAATTGTTCATAAAATGATTGAAACAATGAGATGGATGGCATCTGTCAGAACCAGATTAGGTAATGGTAATAAACATTATCAAGAGATGATTGATTTATATACACTGGAAGATTGGGCTGAAGATATTGTCAAAAATAAGTTCAGTAATAACCATACTTTTGGTTGGGAACATTATGATCCATTATATGAAATGACAGAACCTCATGGAACTTCCCATTTTTCCATTTTAGATGAAAATGATAATTCCATTGGTATGACTACCACCGTCAACTTATTATTTGGATCTTTGGTTTATGATAGTGCTACAGGAATTATTCTTAATAATGAAATGGATGATTTCTCAACTAAACAATTCAATAATTCTTTTGATTTACAACCTTCAAAGTATAATTTGATTCAACCTTATACCAGACCTTTATCATCTACCGCACCAACTGTTATCAAGAATAAAGGGAAACCGGAAGTTCTTATCGGAGCCGCAGGAGGTTCAAGAATCACCACAGCAATTTTCCAAGCTATTGTAAGAATGTATTACCTTGATTATTCATTATTAGATAGTATTGCCTTCCCCCGATTCCATGATCAATTATTACCTGATTATATCTTTACTGAAGATCTTGGAATGTTATCCAATGAATTTAAAGATTTAGATTTGGTAGGAGAATTGAATCATTTGGGTCATAACTTTAAACATACAGGAGTTGAAACTGCCATGAATGGGATTAGAAAGGTTAATGATGATATTGAAGGAGTCAGTGATTACTGGAGGAAAAGAGGCGAGTCAGACGGCTACTAAGGGATTATCCGTGAAATTCGGAGTTTCCTCACATCCATGGATATTTGATAAGGGAAGAAAAATCAAAAATTCCCTTGATCCATGGACTTTAGAAATATATGGAGTTTTTTCTCACAAACAAAATCGACAGTAACTTCTCTTGAACTCTTTTGATGATTGAAGATAAGCAATTGTCTCTTATCAATAGATATGAACACCAGGAAGGTAAATATGGTGCCACAAATTTGATCAACCAATAAGAATCACTTGCCCCACAAAAAGTAATGAGTATTTTTTCGGAGTTTAATGTCTCGCACTTTCTCCAGATTTTGGTCATATAAATACGGGAAGTCCCCCAGGTCATTGATAACCATTCGTAACTGCAATTTTTCAACCTACCACAAAACAATAACTTACCACAAAAACGCTAACTTATCATAGAGAGCCATAACTGAAAGCCATAAAACAAAACAATTCAAATAAAAATGACTTTCCAACATCAAGGGGAATTGAATAAATTACCAATTCCTGACCTAACTATGACATGTCAGAGATATTTAAATGTTTTGAAACCTCTTCAAACAGAGAAAGAACATGAAAGAACCATTGAATCAGTCAAACATTTTTTAACTGACGGAACAGGGAAATATTTGGATGAACAATTGAGAGAATATTCTAAAACTAGAAACAGTTATATTGAACAATTCTGGTATGATTCTTATTTAAACTATGATTCTCCCGTAGTTTTGAATTTGAATCCTTTTTTCCTTTTAGAAGATGATCCTTTCAATAATGAATCCAATTCAATGAATCCTCAAGTTAAAAGAGCTGCTTCCCTTACATTATCATCATTAAAATTTATCAGAGCTTTGAAAAATGAAACTTTACCTCCAGATAAATTGAAAAACGGTCAAGTTTTAGATATGTATCAATATTCTAGATTATTTGGAGCTGCTAGAATTCCAACAGATGAAGGATGTGTGATGCAATCAGACCTTAATTCCAATCATATTGTGGTATTATCAAAATCTCAATTTTATTGGTTTGATGTCTTAAATGGTAATAATGATTTGATTTTAAATGAATCTGATTTGATCATTAACTTTAATTCCATTATTAAAGATTCTTTAAATACCAATGCTAATGAAATTGCTAAATCTTCATTTGGGATTTTAACTACCGAAAATAGAAGAATTTGGTCAAAATTAAGAAATACAAATCTTAATAATAATACTATTAATAAGGAAATTGTTCAAATTATTGATTCTTCATTATTCATATTATGTCTTGATGATATTAAATTATATGATTTAAGTGATTTATCTAAAAATATGTTATGTGGATTATCAATCTTAGATAAAGGTATTCAAGTAGGTACTTGTACTAATAGATGGTATGATAAATTACAAATCATTATTACACAAAATGGGAAAGCTGGGATTAATTTCGAACATACTGGAGTTGATGGTCATACAGTTTTAAGATTTGTTTCGGACATTTATACCGATTCGATATTGTCGTTCGCCAACCAAATTAATCAAAATTCTCCTAATTTATGGAAAGATGATTTACCGGCTAAAACTGCCGATTTAAAAGAATCTTTAATAACAATCCCCAGAAAATTAGAATGGGATTTAACTCCAGATTTATCATTAGCTTTAAGATTCGCTGAAACAAGATTAAGTGATTTAATCAATCAAAATGAATTTAGACATTTAGAATTTAAAAATTTTGGATCTTCTACAATTAAAAATATGAAATTTAGTCCTGATGCTTTTATTCAAATGGCTTTCCAAGCAACTTATTATGCTTTATATGGTAAAGTTGAATGTACTTATGAACCTGCTATGACCAAACATTTTTTCCATGGAAGAACTGAAGCTATTAGAACTGTTAGTCAAGAATCTAATCTTTTTGTTAGAAAATTCTTTGATCCTTTGGTTGCTAATAAAGATAAATTGGCATTTTTATCTAATGCTTGTAGTTATCATTCAAAACAAACAAAATTAGCTTCTAATGGTGAAGGGGTTGATAGACATTTATATGCATTGTTTTGTATTTGGAAACGATACATTGAAGATGATCAACATATTCATGATGATAATGATTCTGATCATACTATTCAAAATGATAATACTACTACTAAGGCTAATCTTAAAGAAATTCCTTCAATATTCGCTGATCAAGGTTGGGATAAATTGAATAATACTATAATTTCAACTTCAAATTGTGGTAATCCTTCATTAAGATTATTTGGTTTTGGTCCGGTAAGTGCCAACGGGTTTGGTATTGGATATATCATTAAAGATGATTCTATTTCTATTTGTGCTTCTTCTAAACATAGACAAACTTCAAGATTCTTAAATACTTTAGAATCTTATTTGAATGAAGTTTATCGGATTTATAAGGAAGTTAATTCTCCTCAAGCTGTATTATCTTCACCAATTGAAACTAAATTATCAAATATCACCAATATTAATCGTCCATCACCTAAATCTTCTACTAGTGATTTGATTAATGTGGTTAAACCTTTAGAACCAAAACCTTCTAATTTGTCCACCCTATTGGGAGGTTATGGATATTTCGATATGGGAGAAGATGATATTAAATCAAGAGGTCCTAGTCCTGAACCACCATTCTTGCATAGAAATAATAGTGGATTCTCTATCCGAGAAATCGGTAAGAAACTTAGATTGTCTGAATACTAAGCTTCGTTATTTATTTTATTTATTTATTTATTTATTTATTTTATTTATTGAATACATATATTGTATGTACTTAGATACCAAAACTACCTTGAATGAAAGCATTCCTGAGATTGGCTTTGTTGGCACCTTTATTCTTATTGAGCTTACCACCAGCAGGCATATTCATCATTTGGAAATCAGATGATGTTTTCTTTTTCTCTTCTTTAGGTGGAGGATATCCTTGGGGGTATCCTTGGGGTGGGGGTGGATAGTAAGGGTATCCTTGAGGTGGAGGTGGATAATAAGGATATCCTTGAGGTGGAGGATAATTGTAACCTTGAGGGGGATAAGGATAGGGATATGCGGCTGGTTGGCCGGGTGCTTGTCCAGGAATTTGTCCAGGCACTTGCCCTGGTGCCATTTGACCTGGTGTTTGTGGTACTTGACCTGGTGCTTGTCCCGGTGGTGGTGCCATTTGCTGAGGAGGTACCTGGGTTGCTGGATGTGGTGGTTGGTGTGTTTGAGGAGTTGGATAATGCCCTTGTGGGTGTTGTGGTGCTTGTCCCGGGTGTGATGCTTGTGGAGCTGGTGCTTGGCCCGGATGTGATGCTTGTGGGTGTGATGCTTGTGGGTTTGGTGCTTGTCCCGGATGTGATGCTTGTGGAGCTGGTGCTTGACCCGGATGTGATGCTTGTGGAGCTGGTGCTTGACCCGGATGTGATGCTTGTGGATTTGGTGCTTTTTGATTCACTGGGGGGTAATTAGGCATATTATGCGATGGTCTTCTAACATGTCCAGGGTTTTGTCCAGGAACTGGTGGTTGTTGCTTATTGGCATTAGGTGAAACTGGTTGCCTTTGAGGACTTGTGAATGTTGGTGTTGTAGCTGATAAGTTTGGTGTTAGCATGGTTGGAATTCTATCATTAACCTTTGGACCTGGGTTTTGGGGTGAGTAATTCAGAGGACTTGGAGGGAAGGGTTTTCCATGGCCCAAATCTTTGGAAGGAGAAGGGGTTCGGGTATCATAAGCTCTATGTTGGGATTGAATTTGAGGCTGTTGTTGCTGATGTGTATGTTGCTGATGTGTTTGTTGCTGATGTGTATGTTGAGTCTGTTGAGGTTGGTGTGTTGGTTGATGATGAACTTGTGATTGGTGATGAGGAGGTTTCATTGGCTGGCCCTGTGGAGCTTGAGTAGGTTGGTATTGAGCTTGAGGTTGAACATGAGAACCTTGTGGTTGCACTGGTTGTGCCTGAGTTTGGACATTAGGAGCTTGGGTTTGAACAGGGGGTTGAGAGGGAGCAACTTGTTGGATAACCTCCTTCATTGGTTGAACTGGTGACCTCAAAGGACCTTGAGGCAGTTTCTGGATAGAATTTTCAGAATTCTGTGGCGACGTTGGGGTGATTTCAAAAGTTGGTACAGTAGGAGACTTAGAAGCATCATCCTTCTTCTTTTTCTTTTTCCCTTTCTTCTTCGGCGATGGCGGTTCCATACCTGGCGGTATAGGGAAGAATCCCATGGGCATGTTGGGCATGTTGGGCATGTTGGGCATGTTGGGCATATTTTCCATTTTACCGTCCATAAATGGTGGCATCATACCTGGAGCCATTCCTGGTGGCATTCCTGGCATTCCACCTGGGAAGGGATATGGGAAATTCATATCCTTCTTCTTTTTCTTCTTTTTCTTCTTCTTGATTTCATCATTCTCTTTATTCTCATCGGGAGATTCACTTGTTGGAGATGGTGGAACATCTTGAAGTTCTTCTGGTTGAAGTTGAGGTTGAAGTTCAGGTTGTAATTGAGGGATGGCTTGGCCAATTGGAGCTGATTCAGTCTGTGGTTCGGGTGAATCTTGAGGCAGGTCAAATACTTGAGTTGTAATTGGAGCTTGATTTTCAACTCCAGGAACAAAGTATTCCGCATATGGATCGGCTGCCGCTCTTTGTAATCCTCTAGCAGCTCTATCATCCTCTGTTTCATAGGTCGAGTAAGGTTCAATGTATTCTTGGATTATATTACTTTCCATTCTACCAGGAGATCCAAGTTCAGAATCATAGGTTGTCTGAGTAGGTAACAGTTGATTACTTTCATAAGCTTGTGGATTAGGGTATACGCTGGAATTTGGTGGTGTGGGTTGTTGATGGTATGTATGAGGTTGCTGGGGTTGATTATTCTGTAAGTAATCGTGAGGCTGTTGACCATTCTGAGGATAGTTATGCGGTTGATGAGGCTGTTGCAGTTGATGAGGTTGTTGAGGAGATTGGTCTAAAACTGGTGGTGGAGGTCTATAACCCTTCTTACTACTAGTCAAAGATTTATTGTCATCACTCAAATTCAAATTATTCAAATATCTAGAATAATCGTCTTCTTGAATATCTAAACCAATCTTATGATCCTCACTATCGAAATTTATTGGAGGTAAAAATCCATCATGTTGTAAAGGTAAGAAATCTTCACTCTTAGAAGGTGGTGGAGGGGCCGGTAAAGGCATATCTTTATAACTTTCATTAGAAATCGTTCTTTTACCCTTATCAGGAGGTGGAGGAGGTAATGAATTCTTTTTGAATTTTTCAAGATATTCCTCGGTTGTAATTACCTCTTCGGTAAGAATTAACCATTTTTGAAATCCTTTCAAACCTGCTTCAACTACTAAACTTCTACCGAATAATAATTTCTTACTACTTGGTTGATCAGATGCTAAGGTTGATAACCAAGCCCAAATATAATAATCTTGAATTGAAACATTGGTTATAGAAATTTCTGAATATAAGGGAATATTACTATCGATTGGAGGTTTATCTTGATCTTTCAACCATCCAGGGTAAAGATTGAATTTGGAAGGTATTGAATCTTCAGTTAAACGATTTAAAATTCTTCTTGATTCTTCTGTTAAGGATGAAACAATTTCTGAGGTTGAATTTCTTTCAAAAATATTCTTTAAGATGGTATAATTTTCCATTGAAAGGAAAGAATCCTTTTTATCAAAAGATAATGAATGTCTTACTTTACTTATTAATTCAAATGGACTTGAAGATCGTTTTGTGGATTTAATCAAAACACAAGGTATAGTTATAATAGATTTTGTTGAATCAGTATTTTCCAATGGTGGATAACTATTAGTTATTAGAAGACTTTGTAAGGTTTTAGGTAATTTTAAAGTTTCCATTTCATTTTCTGGTAACATAGCTCTTAAGAATGATAATAATAAATGAAAAATTGCATCAGTAGATTTAACCCAATCATTAAGTCCGGTTACAAAATTATTCTCTTTCGATATGGTAGCATCAAAGAAAGCTGATTTGTGATTGTTTCTTAAGTTATTGAAAGCCCAGATACTTGACATCTTAGCTATCTTTCTACCACTTAAATAATTATACTGAGCATTGGATGATACATTAATCAAAAGATCTAAAAAATCATATACTATAGAAGCATGAGCTGGTGATGATAAACATTTGGGCATTATAGTTAAGAAAGCTAACTTAGGATACCCAGCTTCTTTCTCCTTTCGTTTAAATTCAAGATATACATCCCAACCAATCAATTCGTTATTAGGTAATCTACTCCAAAGATATTTCAATCCACAGATTATGGTGAACTCATCGAATCCTTTTAAAGTCTCTATAATGATATTTTCATCTCTCAAGATCTCACCATTAGGAAATAATGAAGTTAAGAATTTTTCAAGTTTATAATCATCAATTTTTGATCTGAAGGGAAGAAATATATGGGGTGTTTTAGTACCTCTTTTCTTTAAATCTCCTGTTATAAGATGTAAAATCGTTTTAAGATTCTTTCTTGTGAATTGTTCATTGGAAATATCACCGGTATCTCTAATTTTATCATGTGGTAGTTCCGGAAGCTCCATATCAGCTAGTTGAGGGCCTCTGATCACCATATTAAAAGGGCGGTGTTTATTTATTTTTCGCGGTTGTTTCAGATGATTTGTTTTAGGTGATGAAGATGTTTCAGATGTTTGAGGTGTTGAAGATGATGAAAATCTTTCAGGCGATGAATACGTTTCAGATGTTTCAGATGTTTCAGAGAAAACTTGCTAAGGGTGTAAATAGAAATCCTGAATAAACAGCCCACATCAACAGATGAAGTACAATGTATCCTCATGCCATATGATAGAATCTTTCAAGGATTCTTAGTCTTGTGTGCTTCCCCCTTCTGCGAGTTCCTTCAATTGGAACTTCATACTGACTCAAGATGGCATCAATGTCATCTAAACTCAAATTTTGGAGGGCATTT